TATCATTACTCATCTATGCAAATAGTTTCAACCCGCTGCCATGTTTGCCAACCTCGCAAACCTCGCACACTCGGCAGACAGATCCCTTGTATTTCGAGTGATATTTGGAACCATCGAACGCGCACTCTTCGTACGAGGTGCCGCTGTAAATTGGTGTAAGACTGGCAGCACAAACCTCGAACTCAGCAAATTGATCAAACTCAATGTCAATGGCGTCGTTCGGGTTCCTCTCGCATTGTGCCTTGGTTCTTCGGGCCTGGCAGAGTCGCATTCGTTAGTCAGACAAGTATTAGGTAGGCATTGCGCTGTAATATCAACTTACATTTTCTACAATCTTTGTAGAGCCTCCGTTGGCAATGATTCGATTGGCAAAGCTCAGAGCAGAATTGTAGTTCTTGCTTTTGACAGCTAATTGCATGGCGCTGAGGAGGGCTAACTGCCGATGTGGTACCTCGATCTTAGGAATGGTGAAATACGCAGACAACTCTAGACTCCTCTTCAGCTTCGCTGGATCCTGAGCCACAGAATCTGGGGCTCCCAGACTCCGCCTGGCGAGCTCAATATCCATAGCCACCGTATATTCACTTGCGGAGGTGATAAGCTTCTTTGCCTCAGCCACCTCAGCTTCGCTTGACACGGCATTTACTAGAATGGCATGCAAAATGCCTTTGAATACCTTGATGCCCTCTTCCAACTTGTTTGCCTTCATTGAATCATAACCTCTCTGAAGATCATTGGTAGCAAGGTGCTCCAGATCTCGCGGAATAATGGGAAGAACTTGGCGAGGATCAGTTTCGTCGACCGTCCGTCGTACATAGTTGACCAAGGCTGGCAGGCCGGACGATGCAGGAAGGAAACTTCTGGAAGCTTGATACACCTCCAAGAATCTGGACTTTAATGGTGCAAAGTGTACTGCTCCGACTTGCCTATTTAAGAGTTGCATGGCAGATTCGAAAGATCCTCCTGCTGCATGATCGACTGCAAGTGGAGAGTTTCGTGCCCACATGTCTGCCTCGCTACTACCTGCACCGCCAGCTTCAGCACTGTCCACGTTGACAAAGTCACTGTCGACCTCGGGGACATCATCGTCGCCCAAATCCCAGCCTGCGACATCTTCATCATCTTCCTCAGCCAGGCCGCCATTTCTTTTGAGTGCAGGAGCGCCATCACCCTCTTCGTCAAGGGCAAGTCGATCATCCGTGGCTGGTTCATCCTCCAGAGAGAGACCCTCGACTTGACCTAGTAATGCTTTTTCAAAGAAGGACTGAGAGCTTGCTTTTGTAGGCCAGTTCGCCTTGAAGGTTGGCACAAGAGGCTTAGGCGTACTCAAGGGTTCACCCAAGTTTGGTATGGTGAGTTGGTCTTCCGTAGCCCCAGTAGCTTCCAAAATGGCCTGACACTCATCGTCCAGTCCGTTTGACTTCGCAGTCATGTAAGCAAGAGGATCTGCTAACTGTTAGCATCGCACTTTTCCTCAATGTATAATATGTCTTCACTTACAGAGGTCGATTTCCTTGAACATCTGTATTCGATCTTCAACATCACCCAAATACAGGGCGTTGTGGAATCGAGAAGTGAAATCTCCCCGATGTTCAGCGATTTTTGCCATCCTCGCCAACTTGGAGTGATCACCCGTAGCCAGATACAAAAAGGACAGTTTGTCAAACTGCTTTAGCTTCTGGTAGCACATCTCGACAATCTGGTGATTTCCGTGTGCAAGAGCCTCGGCACTTAGTCGTGCCCAGAATTTCGGCTTATCCAATTCCTTCGCCATCTCAACAGCCACGTCCAGATTGCCGCATTCGATTGCTAGATCAAATCTAGTCGTTGGGTCCTGCACAAATTGCAATGCAATTTCAGGATAACCTTTCTTTTGTAGATACGAAATAATAGACTGTCCCACCAAGCTGGACGTACGGATGATGTGCAGCATTTCTTCATAATTCCGCTTGATTAACGCAAGTTTAAATCGGTACTCGGTCGGATCAATCTGTAAGATTCGTGGTTTCGCGGCTCGGTCCAGGCAGTAGACATTGCGACCCTTGACTCGAACCAGGTATACAGTTTGATCCAAAGTCCGGACAATACCATTATCACCATTGAGCAGCGTATACTTCACATGATTCAATGTCGAGTATAGAAGCACCCCAGCATCATCCCATGTTGCACTTTTGATCCGAATAGTTTCGTGCAGTGTACTAACTTGCTCAAGAGCCTTCGTGACAATCGTAACGTTGTGTTTGCTGAGAAGCGCAGCGTAAAGTCCGTCATTGGACCATACGACGTATTTCACGCCATTGACAGAAAGCTCAGCCGTGCTCTTCTTTTGCTGAATGTCATACAAATGCACGGCTGTTGGTGTTATAATGAGCAGATGGCCAGTCCCACCAAAATAAATATCACTGGTTCCGACAGGTGGCTTGAAGGAACGGGTGGTATTATTTGACAAATCCTTAATGTCAATGGTCTGGTTTGAAACATCAAGAACAGCAAAGCGATTTCTCGCAACGAAAATTGCTGAGTTACCCAATCCTCGTTTTGCCTCCGTTGGCTCAATAACACCTGAGCCATCCTTGGGGAGGCTGACTAGTTCATAAGAACCCCCTTCGGCGGGAGTAGTAACAAGGACAGACTTCTCCGCAGGGTTGTAAGACAAAGTGCGAGGAGTTATCCATGGGCTGCCGAGCTTCTTCAGTGATAGGAGAGTTGGACTTTCGACATTCTTCTGAAAGTCGTAGGATTTGATATGTTTCTCCTTGGTGATGTAAAAGAGCATATTCTGGTGAGTCGCAGAAGCAGGCCGTTCGCGCTCCAGCTTGAAAACCATCACGCCATTATCATGGCCTGCAGCAAAAAGGTTGATCTCGGGGTGTGCTGCAATGACCCAAAATCGGTCATTTTCGCGCTTGAAAGATTGGACGGCAGTTCGTTTGTTCAAATCCCAGACTCGAATTGTTTTGTCCTCACCAGCTGAAAGAATCAAGTCCTGGTGGGGGTGGAACAAACAGCCAGAGGCATTGTGGAAATGGCCTCTGCATGTGTCGACCTCCCATGCCTTGGTTTCGCTCATGCGCCAGAGTTTAACCAACCGATCGTCTCCAGCAGATACGATTAGTGGCATTGTGGGATGAAATGCGACCCAGTTGACTCCACGGTCGTGGCCTTCAAGTACAAATTTAACTACGGCATCGGTATTGCCGAACATGTCTGCCTGGTTCTGATTGGCACGCGCCATCTGATCCTCGAAGCTCATGGACGTAGGAGCAGAGTGCTTCTTCCGAAGGCCAGAAATATCCCAAACGCGGACAGACTGATCGAGGGATGCGGAGACAACAAGGTCGTCTTTCGGATGAAATTGAGCGCACATAGTATAGTGATTGTGCCCAGTCATAGTACAGATTAAAGAGCGGTTCTGCCAGTTCCAGATACGAATAGTCTGGTCGTCTGAAGACGATAAAATCCATGGCAATTCATGGTGAAAAAAGACAGTGCGAACGTAGTCAAGATGACCGTTCAAGGTGAACAGGCAACGTCGTGTCTGGTAGGACCAAACTTTGATCTTGTAGTCATCGCCACCAGACACAAAGAGGGGTTGTGTCTTGTGGAAGTCCACTCCTCGAACGGGTCCATCATGTTCTTCGAATCGGTCGATAAGTGTGCCCATTCGGTAATCCCAGAGCTGAATGGTAGAGGAATGAAGTGCAACGAGGATCCATGGTCTGCCAAGTGGATTAGCTCCAGAGATCATTTCCCAGGAAGCCTAACTAAAATACCTTTTAGGATGAAACGCAATGCCTTTGGCCCTTGAAGACTTCGACTCAAACTGCGTCGTGGTAAGCGTGTTGAACAGGTTTCGACGGCCTTTGCAAGAAATACCTTGGTTAACATGCCGGGGGAGGACTGCATTTTGGCGGGGATAGGAAGCCGCAGCTTCGTGCATTAAGGGGAGAGTGACGCAGACGACAATGCTCCAAGATATCGATGAGGATGTTGATATTTCAGCCAATCCTCGCTGCAATTAACTTGGTATGGTGGCCGACGAATCAGCATTAATATTCGTGTAGGCAGGGGATGTTGGACACGTCGAATACGGTGTGGTGTTTGTTGGCCTTGCTCCTGGTAGGCAATTGAGCATCGTGTCCAACTCCAATTGTGGGCAGGAGGAGTACTCCTCTAAGCCGCACTAACATTCTTCCGTATCCCTTGGCAGGTCACCCCACTTACTGATATCTATCGTCCCTCCTGGAGAAGGTCATCACGCTAGTCTACATTGGGAGAGCTCATGGTCGGAAGTGCGACTGTGTTCACAAGTATTGTGGAAGCTGGTCGAGCACACAGCGAATGTTGAGGGCCAGCTTTTAATTCAAGGATTATATGGAACTTGGTCAGCAGAAACCGCCGATAATTGAACGATTCATTGAATCCATATATTGCGAAAATTTGCCAACCACTGATTTCAAGGCGGTACAGGCCTTCCGCGGCCTCAGCTCCGCGTAACGACAAAGAACAAGGCACCTGCAGAGCCGTTTATACCTCGTCCTATGCCAATTGTGGTGAATTTCTCGCAGTCCTTATTTCATTATGCGTCTACGAAATATAGCGTGGCTTCTGGCTGGCTCCCTGGCGTCGATACCGCCGGTGTCGGCGGCGTCTGCTGTTAAAGTAGGCATGAATGCAGCCTTTGATGCCGCGCCATATTTATTGGAGCTCGTGTATGGTGCTGTCATCTCTCGCCATCGTATATTTGCCGACTGACAAATTGAAGGGAGACTGCGGCAGGAGAAAATTCGTCTTCATACTTCCCCTTACTAGATCGAATCGCAAATGGGTATTTCCTGAAAGCTTCATCGGAATCTGAACTGTATAGTCGATTTCTCAACATCGTTCACGAAGATGGACATATAACTAGACCCGATGCTCTATCTACATTTAACTTAGCGCTATCTTTACGATCCGCGGCCCCTAGGATCGAAGCACACTACCAACATTATGCTACAGCTATGGAACCTCTTAAGGAATTGCAGGATTGCGATATTTGGGTTTTACTCGACGACAGGCAATACTGTACGCCTGATTTCGATGCTGAAGCGAAGAACGAGCTGGTTTCCGCGTATGTAGCCTTGCTACATGATGTATATTTCTGCTAATTGACTTTGCAGGGTCGTCAAACCGTTGCCTTTCGATCGAATCTTGGGTATCGGAAGGGATGCTATCCTGTATGCCGATCCTACCTCAGACGGATTTGCAGAGTATCACCAGTCACTGTCAAAGGCAGCACGCACCATGAACTTACGTTATCGGCTTCGATATCGCCGCAGCAAGTCTCATATTAGCCGACCTTTACCAGTCAGCGGCTATGGAGTGGAACTCGCATTAAAGAAGACAGATTACATAGTGATGGATGACAGACATTCCAGCCAAAGCACGGAGCAAAGCCCCAAGGAACCGGTGGAAGTTCTTGATGGAACAGACGACGTGGCCGACTTAAAACCCCTTTCCACTTCTGAGCTTTCTTCCATTGGAATGAAAGCTGCGTCGTTTATCAAGGACAGTGATCACCCGTTCGACACCCTGGTAAAACTCACACAAGACTTCCCAAAATTCGCATCGTCGATAGCCTCTCGGAATGTTTCAATTGCGTTTGCTGCTGAAAATAAGCAGAATCGAGCAAAGAAGATGCGGGGTGGTATCAATTTTCTATGGATGAACGGAGCACAGCTCACTGACCGAGAAATCCAGCCTTTTGCGCTTGTAAACATGTTACGAAGCGAAAGGAGGCTTGTTGATGGGATTCGAGATTTGGGGTTCGATGGAGAACAGGCTGTTGCCCTTCTGAGCCACAAAGCAGTGTCGGCTGCTAAGGAAGACGATAAACCTTTTCGTTATGATTGGACAGATAAGTTGGAGGGTGGGCGTGTAATTCTATGGCTCAATGACTTGGAAAAGGATGACAGATATGCTTCATACCCGAAGTCTTTGTCCTCAGTAAGACATTCCGTAGCTCCATTTTCTAGGCTCCCCTGATACTAACTACGAAGTACAGTTGCTTCAAGGCACCTTCCCTGGCCAATTTCCACCGATTGGTCGAAATATATTCAACTTGGTCATTCCCGCCGACTTGTCCAACACTGAGGATCTAGACTTCATCTCCGAGGTAGAATCTATCAGGGAACGTGGTATTCCGATTCGATTCGGACTGGTACCGCTGCAGCTGTCTGATGAAGCCAAGACTCGGGCAAAGGTCGCATATTTTCTTACAGAAAACTATGGTATCGAATCTACGATATCGTACATTTCACAGCTGGCTAAGGCCCACCAGAAAATTGCTGATTCCAAGACTCTACTCTCAACGATTACCGAGAACCATACACTTTTACCTGGAGGCGAGGACATGTCGTTGTCTATGATATTGCAAGCAAGCGCCTTTACTAAGAGGCTCTTACAAGCTGAAAAATGGGTCAAAAGATTGAAGGCCGACACAGTCGTTCGTCCATTGTTTGTTAATGGTGTTTTAGTGCCTCGTGACCAAAGCTGGATGCAATCCCTTAGCATGACAGTCTCACAGGACCTCCAAACTGTACAAAGGGGAATATATCACGGCGTCTTAGATGATGATACCTGGACTGTTGGAGTGTTTCTCGAGGGGGCTGCCTCACGACGCAGCCTTTATATTTCGGAAGCCAATGAGAAAACCTTGCGAGTGTTGAATATTGCTAAAATTTATCGCGAGAATGCGGACTTATTTGACGCAGTTCCGGTTTTCGATTCTTATGCCGAATCAACACAAGAGAACTGGGCAGTTGTTACCGTACTTGCGGATATGTCTTCGAGGGCTGGTCTTGATGTAATTTTGTCAGCCCTAGAGTTTAGACGCAATAACCCGGCAATCCGTCTGGATTTCGTCGACACGCAAGACAACGCCAAGATGTCTTCTCAGGTCAATAAGGCTTTGAAGGCGAATGAAGCTAAGTTGAAAGACATCGAAACCGTACAAGACCTGGAAGAGCTCCTTAGTGAGGCTTCGAATTATGATGCCAGCGATGACTTTGCGGTATCTGTAGCAAGATTCCTCGCTGACACTAAGATACCGACCAGTTCACAGGTCGTGATTATGAACGGACGAGTGATAGGGCCCATAGCACCAGAAGCGTCTTTCGACGCCGAGGATTTCCAGCAGATATTGGCATATGAACAGACACGTCGCATTCTCCCCGTTTATGCTGCGGTTGCAGACCTAGGCTTGAATGAAAAAATTTCAGATTCTATGGCGGCTGCCAAACTCAGCTCCATTATTGCGCTGTCAACGCTTTCTGATCTGCCTGAAGGAATCTTTGAATCCTCTTCACCGATCCGTTCTGCCATATATGCCTCTTGGAATTCGAGCCACACGGTAATAGAATCGGGCGACCCGAAGAAATCAAGCATACATATTGTGGGATTATTGGATCCTGTCAATGAAACAAGCCAGAGATGGGCCTATATTCTGAGATTGCTTGCAGAGTTAGATGGCGTTTACGTCAAACTCTTCCTAAATCCCAAAGTTCAGGTTGAGGAGCTTCCTGTGAAACGATTTTACCGTTATGTCGTCGAACCAACACCGAAATTCGACGAGAATGGGAGTGTCAAAGCCTTAACAGCAACTTTTTCAGGACTCCCATTAAACGCGTTGATGACTGTGGGGATGGACGTTCCGCCAGCCTGGTTAGTCGCACCAAAGCTGTCCGTACACGACCTCGATAACATTCAACTAAGCGCTGCAAATTCGGATGTTGAAGCGACTTACGAACTTCAACATATTCTAATTGAAGGGCATTCTCGCGACGATCAGGGATCAGCCCCGCGAGGTGCTCAGCTAGTCCTGGCAACAGAAAGCCAGCCGCTTCTGACAGATACTATTGTCATGGCAAACCTAGGCTTTTTCCAATTCAAGGCTAATCCTGGCGTCTATAATATCCAGCTTAAAGAGGGTCGAAGTGCCGAGATCTTTACTATTGAAAGCATTGGTGCTCAGGGATGGGAGGCAGCACCTGATGACGAAGGCAGCGAACTTGCGCTGATGGACTTTCAAGGCACCACATTATACCCGCGACTCAAGCGCCGTCCCGGCATGGAAAACCAAGACGTTTTAGAGCACACAAGCAACCTATCCCAGGGCAACATAGTTTCCAAAGGCCTAAAATTTGCAGAAGGGCTCCTTGGCGGGAAAGGAAAATCCACTTCAGATGTACAGCATGCTGAGATAAACATATTTTCCGTTGCGAGTGGGCATCTGTATGAGCGGATGCTCAATATCATGATGGTTTCTGTCATGCGCAATACGAAACACAGTGTCAAATTTTGGTTCATAGAACAATTTCTCTCACCATCGTTCAAAGAATTTATACCGCACCTGGCAAAGGAGTACGGTTTTAAATACGAGATGATCACATACAAGTGGCCACACTGGCTTCGGCAGCAAAAAGAGAAGCAAAGGGAGATTTGGGGATATAAAATCCTTTTTTTGGACGTTCTCTTTCCGTTATCGCTAGACAAGGTCATATTTGTGGACGCTGATCAAGTTGTTCGCACCGACATGATGGACCTTGTTAACTTGGATCTAAATGGTGCGCCGTATGGCTTTACACCGATGTGTGATTCTCGAACGGAGATGGAGGGGTTCCGATTCTGGAAGCAGGGCTACTGGGCGAACTATCTTCGTGGAAAGCCATATCATATTTCGGCTCTTTACGTCGTGGATTTACGCCGTTTCCGTGAGCTGGCCGCTGGTGACCGACTCAGACAACAGTACCATGCTCTCTCGGCGGACCCGGCTAGTCTGTCAAACTTAGACCAAGACTTGCCTAACCATATGCAATTTCAAATCCCAATCCATAGCTTACCGCAAGACTGGCTTTGGTGCGAGACGTGGTGCAGTGATGAGAGCCTCGCAAAAGCTCGGACCATTGACCTATGCAATAACCCTCAAACCAAGGAACCGAAACTTGACAGGGCGAGGAGACAGGTCCCGGAGTGGACCATATATGACCAAGAGATTGCTGCTCTTGACTTGAAGCGGAAACGACGCCTCCAGTCAGACGCAACGGAAACGTATAGAACAACATCAGAAGACGGAGAAGTGGGGGACCATCGCTCAAAAGATGAACTGTAGAGAGGATGCCATTAGTTTGGTTATTCCTCACAACCACGGGTTTTGCAAGTTTATGCTTCGATAGAAAGAGAGGTCACCTTTTCAACATGTAGTTTGAGCTTCAATTTCGGCACACAACGAATGACCTGGGCCAAGCGACGTCCAGATATTAAATATGTACGGAGTAGCGTTCACGACTAAGGAAGGACTTCCATTTCGTTGGGTTATGGAAGATCAGTGCCCTGGTAAAATATGCAGCAGTGCTTGCGGCTTGTTGACAGCAGTCATACCGTACTGTTGTCTTCTGTGAACAATAAAGAACGTCTGACGGGGCAAGATTGTTGTCCATGGTGCATGCTACATATGAGTACTAGTTGAATCACCTTCATCGTACCTCGATAGCCGGCTGCCGAGTAAGGATGGGGTCGTCTGACATTTTCTTCACTCAATCGTCAACGTAGTGTCACCTCATTGAACAATTACCTGGCCAGGGGAGTAGGTCATTCTGTGGCTGGGTGGGAAGACAGCAATTTCAAAGGCAAGCATTATTCTGCACTTACATATTAATCATCACTAGGTAGGTTTCCGCACTGTACGCCGTATTGTGCCTCATGGCTTCCAAAAACAAGGTCTCCCCCACTTCACACACAACATAACATCCCCACCTCCACCATCTCACAAAGAATATCTTCAACAAAATCCAGCTTACAATGTCCTGCATCTTTTGTCGCATCATCAAGGGTAAGGAATGGCGGCAGATGGTCACACATAAGCGGGTGCCAAGTTGACTGTAGAGGGGTGTTGCATCACGAGCTCAATTTGCTGACATGGTCACTCACCCGTGTCATTATTAGGCGAGATTCCTTGCATGAAGCTCTTTGAGAGCGAAAAGACGCTGGCTTTCCTCGACATCGGGCCACTCAGCAAAGGTCATGCTGTACGTATATGGACTCCCTCGAGCAGCCATGGCCCTAACAATATGCCGGGTATACCAACGCCGCCACTTTTCTCCTGAAGCTAACCGGTTCTTTCGCTTGTATCCGCTAGCTGGTCATACCCAAGCATCATGGTGCAAAGCTGGCCGACATTCCCGATGACCAGCTCACAGAAATTCTGGTAGGCCGGCCAAACGTTGCATGTAGTGTAATATCACGTCGTCAACTGACACACCCGTTCCAGCCCACACTGAAAAAGCTGGTTTCCGCGACTGGCGCCGTTGACTATAACATACTCCAAAACAACGGTACCATAGCTCACCAAGAGGTTCATCATGTGAGTCTGACCATCCCAATCCTCTACCGTATCTGGATTGTGGGAAGCTAACCAAATACCTTTGCTTCTTAATTCTCTGTAGGTTCATTTTCATATGGTTAGTATTCTCAGCCGCCGTACCGTTTCGATATACATGCCCTAACCTCTTCACTAGATTCCAAAGCCCAACGACGCAGAAGGCCTCGGAATTAGTTGGCCTTCCAGACCAGGTGACATGGAAAAGCTCAAGATCCTCTGCGAGGATATCAAGTCCAAAATGTAAATTATTGGCCAATCGAGGGCGCGTCGTTTGAGTACAGCAGTGCTACTGGAAGGTGTTCCGCCATGCGCCTGTGCAATAGTTTTACTGATAAATGTCGTTCCGAATTCTATTATAATCTACTTTATAAACTATAACCTAAACTGATGTACTTCAGAGAACGCGAGGAGCTTACTATGTCAGTTGCCACTCCGACTATACAACTAACTGCGCCCTTTATTAGGTCTAGCTTGGTTCCAGCGGGTGCCGAAACAAAATCATCGAGATCACACCCATTAACCGACCGTGTTCGTTGGAGTCTCAGTGCCAGATTTGATCTCGGTGGAGGGAGCAGACTTGGAGTCAGCGTTTCGGTACCAGTTTACGTCGCCATCAGAACGGATCACTCCCAGCCGATCATACAGAGACCGGGCTCTTACGTACGGGTCAAGCTGCCAGTAACCGTCCCTGAGCTTTGCGGCAATGTCATCTCGCTCAGCTATTACGGCTTCAGCTTCTTCGCCAGTAGCGTGTTTCGTCCAACGTCGAGTAGCAGCCTCGTACTGAGCATACAACTCCTCCCTTTCCTTAAGCAGTCGATCCCTGGTTGTAGTATCTTTCATCAAATCATTTTCACCCTCAGTGGGCTCCTCAAATACATACGTCCAATCCTCATCGCCTTCTAAGTCCTTAATAAGCTGACCTGGATTAATGAATTCCTCCAGCCCAGCTCTGTAGTTAGTAAAGTGAACCTTGGCAGCTACAACGGGATCGAGCCAGCCACGGATAACCCTCCAGATGCCTGTCCAATATAAGCCTCCACTCAACCAAAAGTATTGGAAAATCAACTGACCTTGGAACAACCACGGTGCGTTGTGGACGAGAACGACCCCTAGAGATTCGGGATAGTTTGCTTCAAAACACTGGATCATGAACTTGACAGGGTGGTAGTCCATGTTGGCCAGAGTGAATCCCGTCATATCAAATATGATGTTCTGGTTTCTATTATTAGCCGGTTGAGTAATTAGCTAGAGTAAGGTTGCAACTTGCCGCTGTATCAATAGGAGGTTTCAGTACCAGACGAGTAGTCTCAATCAGAAATACCGTGTACCTTTCCAAGCTCTCAGGAGATTGATCACCGGCTTTGTGGAGGCGCACTCTGACCACACAAATCGGACGACCCTCTTTATCGGTGCCATGTAGGAAACTTTTGCCCATCCGGCTTTGTTTTAGAAAATCGTGGCCCAGCTTCTTTGCCTTTTCATCTCCAGTTTTCTCATCAGCGGCGGCGCCGGCTTCCCCATTCTTCATGATATCCTGATCGACCTTCATTTTGGTATGCCTCCAGTTCATAGCCGATATCAACATGACGAGGGCTTTTTCCACATCCCACTTGCGGGCGCGCAGAAAACGTAGGAGCAGCGCGTCGGGATGATCATGCTTCATCATTGCCCACATTATTTCTCTTATCTCCTCCGGCTTCTGGTTTGCCAAGATTTCCTGATACTGTTTGTTCAAACCATATTTGTCGTCATCTGCTGAATCAGTAGCATTATTACCATTGGACGACGCATGAGCCGACTGGGGAGCACTCCTGAAGAAACTGAAGCCGCGCTTTTTCTTGGTGGATTCGGCATCTGCGCCTGGGCTTTCATCTTTCTTTGATGCCGGGTTCGCATCGCTGCTGTCTGAAACCCCGCATACCTTGAACACAGCTTCCCACAGTTGACGGAGCTTGTCTTCCTGTTCGGCTGTCAAATTCCCCAGGTGCCCAGGAGCAATCTCGTGAGGCATGTCGTCGATAGGGAGATGGCCAGTGCTGGGTTGTATATCTAAGCTGGTAGCTTCTCCAGTGACTAGCAAATATGCTATCGCAAAAGCAAGGGTTGCCGCGGCTGCTGATATAACAGTTGAGTGATAGACGCTGCTTTGAAGAGCGATGGTGGTAGGAGAGGATCCACGAGCGGAATGAGAGGCGCTGCGCAAAAAGAGTACGCCAGCAAGACGATTTCTTCTCAGCGCTGCAAGGTTGACGAGAGACAACCACTGGCTTGTTCGCCTCAAAGTATTGATATACTGAGGAGAAGCGTTTGATAGAGTACGGCGTTGCGTAGCCGACGGTGTAGAGGATCGTGGTTTGATAACCGAAAGAGGCTGTCGATTCTGTCCGCTCCCGTGTATGATACTCCTATGCAATGTATATAATGAGGGAAGTATCCCCGTTGGTCGAGTGCCAGTTGTACCGGGACGCGTGGGCATACGCACCCTCATAGATCTTCTCTTTCCACAACAAGCTAAGGCGGGTATTTTCTGTGCCTAGGTAGTTGGGGTGGTGGAGGGCTAGCGTCAGGAATGCGGCAATGGAGAGCCAAATGATCAGTACTAGTATACAAGGACCTTAGGAATGGCACTGGCAGACATTCCAAAACAAGACAGGTTACGCTGGAAGTCGGGAGACGGGCGTCAAGCGGACTTGTTCGGCGGGATGTCCAGTATTTTCGGTCAGTTTGTCGGATACACGGCGACCCGTACCCGGTCGGACTAATTGTCTAGCAAGCCCTCCGTGACGATCTTCCTGTGGGGAAATAACTGGAGACTGCAGCTGACAGCAATTGACAGGCAAGAGTAGGAAAGGCAAGAGTAACTGGTGTTAGTAATAAATCGCATTAGCGTAGTCTCGTCTGCGGGTAGAGGCAAGCAAGTGACTTTGTGCCTGCCACGCGCCTATTTTTGTACTTGCCCCCCGACACTCCAACCGGTAGCCATGTCCAGGTCATAGGCCAATCGTGGACTTTCTTTATTGGCTAGGCACAGCGCTGTCTCGGGAGTGGCAAAGAATAGGAATGCGCGAAAGAACATGAGATCATTAGAATTGTTCCGTTTTTTACACTTCACTTATTCCGGTCCTCTGCGTCCGCCCTCCGGTCCAGTGGTCGCATTGTGATGCCTGCGGATATCACGGCCCCACTGAGGAGTGTGGTAATGGAAGGCTTTGGCTGGCTGGCCGGGGACGTGCCACTCACTCATCGCACGTGCCATGCTCTGCTTTGGACCTGGAGTCTCTCGTAGAGGCGCGATTGGCGGTTCGCGTATCCTTGGATGGGTGAACTTTCTGGATCACATTTGCGCCAGATTTACACCTCGTTGGAACGCCTAATTGATCAAAACACGTCGCTCTATTTAGGCGTGGGCATGTCAGACGGCGTCGATGAAGCAAATGGCGGCACTGCCATAAGCCGGAAACGTTCAAATTCCCGAGCGCGTAGTTCAAGGCCCACAACACCCCTTCGACCATCCTCACGATCATCCTTCCGAGACTCTGCCCGCAATGTCCGTGGCGGTGGTGCGGAGTTTCCGCTGAATGCCTTTGAGCCTGCTTTCGCAGAGCTTTCAGACGCTATGGCTGATCTTGAGGCCAACATGATGCATTTTCAACTTATGCACGAAAGTCTTGCCCGCTTCAGCGAGTCGTTTGCTAGTTTTCTATATGGGCTCAACATGAATGCGTTTTGTGTCGACTTTCCAGAGGTATAATTTCGATTCTGCAACATGGAACTTGCTTTGCAAAAGTCTGCATTGTTTTCTAACTTGGTATCTATGAATCAGGGACCCATTGCGGAATCATTTGCACGAAATCGCCATGAAGAAACTTCGGCTGAGGGGACCACCCGCCTAGAGACTGATGTTGAAGCCACCTTTATGTACGTATGCCCGAACCGCTTTTCTTACAACATTCTCCTGTCGTATGTTTGTCGGTGCTGAGCTTCCTCATCAGGACTACGGACACCTCTTTTGTGGATAATCCACCCACTACAACGAAGAAACATGCTAAGCCCGGAGCCGTCGAAACTCGTCAATCCCGTCTGCCTTTCCCACGTGGTACAAACACGAGAGGGAGGGCAAATATTCGAGATAGGGCTCGATCAAGTGGCCTAGCAAGAGGACGGGGTGGGAGTCGCGGCATAAAATAGTTTGATGCACAATCATGTGGGCCAGAGCCTAAGCGTGCCTAGCACCTCTTGTGAGGATATTCACTTCCATATTCAAGAACAGACGACGGCAGAGAGACATGGAAAGGGCATTTTCGGCGAATAATCGATTCGAATGGCATAGCCTGCGGCTTCATGTGGCCATTTCCATATCTCCAGAGGCATCCTCTTCAACGTTGTCATGTCGATTATCGATTTGCGGCTCTGCATCGGCCCCAGGCATTCTTTGGGGGTCTGGACTGGGCTCTTCGCCGAGCTGTTTGACTCTATGGAAGAACACTTAGTTCATCGGGTAACGCATGTGAAACAAAGTATGCAGGTCACGTACCTGCGCTTGTGCGGTTTGCCGCGCCTGTGAGAATTTAGGGTACTCTCTCGGTCAAACCACTTGGCGCATTCAATACAATAGTGCCTGCCGAGGCCAGGAAGGTCCTCAGCCGCTTTGGTGTCTTTGAACTGCGCCAGATGTCTTGATGATATCAGGTCTGCCTTGATTTGATCCACATCTCTTCATTGCCGTTAGCCGGGACCTAAGCCATGGATCAAATCGCCAGCGTATCATACCTGGTTTTCCTCCTCGTCTTCGTGATTGTGCGTTTGTTTCCGACGCCCATTATGTATATGCGATTCGAGAGTAGACGTGGCGCAGATATCGGTTCAAATGATAAGTCAAGTATAGTGGAATTTGGCCCTCTGTGTGTGTATCAATAATGTAGTTGCCACTATATGTAGTACGCAATCCAAACCAGCATAAGTGGAAAAAACAACCAGTTGAGAGAGATGCAGTTCAAGGCACAGATGTGGATCGATCAAATTTGTGAAAAGAGGCAGACCAGTGAGAGTGCATTCGGGTATTCCTCGGAAGCTTGCTAGATAGTGTGTCGGTCCACGGTCCAATCTAAAAGATAAGAAAGTCGACCTCGTGGATCCTGAGGTTTTCGTCAAGAGTGGATGGTAAGGGATGGAACGAATTGACAATGCCCCAAATAAAAGCTGCAAAGCGTTTCTTTAGTTTACATGCGTGTGTATGTTGTAAACCATCATAAGCCGATGACATTGGATTCATGCCTTGTGGCCTCCCGGCAGTTGCAAATATAAATGGAGGAAATGCATGAGCTAAGACAGGATGTATCAAGAGATAGCTTAATCATTTTTTGAGTGTAGAATATTAAAGTTTCGTGAGGAGCTACATACCCGTGGGTATGGATGCCATCGGAAAACATGTCCTTCCTATTGCAGCTCAAGCAACTTGGCGAACGCATAGTAAGAAGTGAGAAGTCAACATGTATGTTACTAGACGAAAGTGCCTAGATATCCCGCTGTATTTATAATAGGATGGTATATTAACCCATACTTATCGACGATAAAATTTGTCCTGCCACAGGCTGTACGTAGTACCAAGAATGCTACAACGCAAGATGTTAAGTAGAGAGCAACACTGTACAGTGCCGTATGCGGAGCAAAGTCCATTAGAGGCCGATATAGGCAGAGCTTTAACAAGTGTATTTTTTTGTATTTTTGTATTCTTTATTAAATGATGAATATTAAATCTAATAAGTTAACTATGCATATTGTTCAAAACAAATTAAAAAAAAGGGGGGCTAGATAGAGGGCATCTAGTAACACTGTATTTTGGCCGTACCTAGGCCAGGGAACCGTAACTAAGCCACCCAAGACACCGCGATGCGTCAGACACACTAGCCGACTAGTAGGCATTTATATATCCCCTCGAGGCAGCGAAGGCTCCAGTGGGGTATCTCTCTCCACAAGGCCCTGGAACCCCCCGGCAGAACCCTGTGATCGAATTATTGATGCTTCTTTTTGGGTAGGATCAAAGTGATAATTAAAGTACCGATTAATTGAGACGGCTCATTGGCCCTATTCCTTGGAAGATACATCGTTGGAGCCTTCGCTGCCTTTAGGTGGCTACCCTAGACACCTTCCGTGCTACCTACCTAGGTACCCAGGTAGGTATATTTACCTTGGTAACTACTATGTGTGTGTCTGCGTATTCTACGAGTGGCTTCACATGCGCCGTTCTCTGGGAGAACTTAGAAGTGAAATACCCGTCGGCGACTATGCAGGTGGACGAGCCACTCTTGCCACTTAGCTGCCAACAGGTAATACAGCAAATTTGGTAGTTTGTCATAATCGGATTCCTCACAGAACGGGGCATCGGTCGCCGAGGCCAAAGCTCCGAGTAGCTCGCAAAAACGAGTGTCCTCGTGCGGTGACCGAAGGATCCAGCCAATGCCGAGGTCTGGAACTCACGATTTGCCAACGACTCATGAATGGACAAGCAGCAGCGGTCTGCCGATGCCACACCAGACCAGCCTCTGCGAGGGGACACACCGCGACCGCAGCCGCAGTACCACTTGCGGCTTAAAGAGTAGCCGACCGGAGCCGAGTTGCGTGCTCGGAAGAAGGGCATCGGAAGCGCCTCTAATGAGACCAGCTCCCACGACGAACAACACGCAATTTCCATTAGCGATGAAATATTACGCAGTACATACCATGTATGCAGGGAATAGGTGTCAACTGCCTCGAGCTCTACCGAGCGTGGTATTCTTTGCACGGCGACGGTAAGTAATTGCCATCAATACACAAAGCTATCAATGCCTTGCCATCCATGAGGTCAGTAATTACGGTTGATACCAGACATGCACGGAGCTGGATGCCCCAGCATTGACATGTGCTGGCCGACTGCCCCAGTCCAACCCCAGGCTGCCTGGTCAGCAACAGCGATGCCCAGAAGCCAAACGGCTCAGTTGTGTTTGCAATTTCTTAATTTTTTGCCCTGGCCCTGTTTTCCATGCCCTCTCGTTCGCTGGGTGGCGCGGGGCCTCGGGGCAGTGGAGGTCTCAGCACCGCATGACGGAACGCAGACGTCGTGGATTATTATCTCGACGCTTGTGACTGGCTGCAGCACCAGACGACCCCCGTAGCAACACCACGTTCCCTACCCGGCCTGGCCGCGCAGTGGAATCCGCAAGCCAACGCTTCTATGCTTGTGGCTTTGTGTTCTCTCCCATGCAACCTTCACCTTTAACCCTGCGGCTCCACATCACGCCTGTGCTCGGTAACATCTGGCTCTAGCCTGGTTCCTGTTCCCGGCCAAAAACACCTCTCTCCACCTTCGTGGCCAACCTTCTCTCTTACTTCTCTTTTTTCTTAAACCACCTCCACGTCCTCTGCATTCCTCCACGTACTGGCCTCCGAGTTTGACTGACCTTGGAGAGCGGCCAAGTCGCTTTCATCTAGCTCAGACCCTCTCCCCTCTGCCTCAATTGGCCCATTACCTTCAACATGCTTGCCTCCAGACAGGTTCTGGGCAACTTGGCCCGGGGCCGCGTCCTGAATGGCGCTTCTAGCAGTCTTCGTCGCATGGCGACGGTCTCTGATTTTTCACTTGACAAGAAGGTACGAAAGATGGCTTCTCCGGATGGTTTGTCTTGCGACTAACACTTGCAACCTGTGTGTATATAGGTTCGCCAAAACATCTGGGAAGACAACACCTTTATCAACTACAAGAAAATGTCCGAAAATCTGGCTGTCGTCCGCAGCCGCTTGAATCGACCGCTCACATATGCTGAGAAGATCTTGTACTCTCACTTAGACGACCCTCACGGTCAAGACATTGAGCGCGGCAAGTCCTACCTCAAGCTGCGACCAGATCGTGTTGCCTGCCAGGATGCTACCGCACAGATGGCTATTTTGCAATTCATGTCCGCTGGCATGGAACAGGTTGCGAATCCAACCACTGTTCACTGCGATCATTTGATTGAGGCACAGGTCGGTGGCGAAAAGGATCTTGCCCGTGCTATTAGTATTAACAAGGAAGTTTACGACTTCCTTTCTTCTGCCTGCGCCAAATACAATATCGGTTTCTGGCGCCCTGGATCTGGTATTATCCACCAGATCATCCTCGAGAACTATGCTTTCCCTGGTGGACTGCTTATTGGAACTGACTCCCACACTCCCAACGGTGGCGGTCTCGGCATGGCAGCAATTGGCGTCGGAGGTGCTGATGCTGTCGATGTCATGGCCAACCTGCCATGGGAATTGAAGGCTCCTAAGGTTATTGGTGTCAAGCTTACAGGCCAACTATCTGGCTGGACAGCTCCCAAAGGTCAGTGAATAGCACCATTGCATATGTTATTTTAAATGCAACCCCACTCTATTTCATGCTACTCATGCATATCTGAGTACTGACTACGCGTGAACATAGACATCATTCTCAAGGTCGCCGACATCTTGACCGTCAAAGGCGGCACTGGTGCCATTGTCGAATATCATGGTAAGCAGTCCTGTATGAGATGAGAGAGAAGGAAAAGTCCCCTGGGCCCACGCGGCTATTTCTGCCCCTGTTTATAACAAGGCGTTCGCCCATGATACTTCTCTCTCTCCGACCCCCTTTCACTTCAAGTTTCATTTTTAGATAGCACAGAATTCTTGCAACTAACACATTAATGTCACTTTCAGGACCTGGCGTAGACACTATCAGCTGTACCGGCATGGCTTCGTGCGCGAACATGGGAGGTTTGTTTTCGATTATCACCCTAGTTATCTGGCGACTGTGCACTAATGAGGAATTAGCTGAAATTGGAGCTACTACGTCCGTTTTCCCATTCAACGACCGAATGTACGACTACCTCGCAGCTACCAAACGCAAAGACATCGGCGACTTTGCGCGTGGTTATGCATCAGAGCTGCGTGCTGATGAAGGCGCTGAATACGATCAACTCATTGAACTCAATTTGTCAGAACTCGAGCCTCACATTAACGGTCCTTTTACTCCTGATTTGGGCACCCCGATCTCAAAATTCAGCCAAGCTGTGAAGGACAATGGCTGGCCAGAAGAGCTCAAGGTCGGCTTGATTGGCTCCTGCACCAATTCATCATACGAAGATATGTCCCGCGCGGCGTCTATTGCGCGAGATGCGTTGGACCACGGCTTGAAAGCCAAGGCCGCCTTTACTGTAACTCCAGGATCTGAACAGATTCGTGCCACTATTGAGCGAGATGGACAGCTCAAGACCTTTGAGGAATTTGGCGGCATGGTTTTGGCAAATGCCTGTGGTCCCTGTATCGGTCAGTGGGACCGTCGGGACGTGAAGAAGGGCGAAGCCAATTCCATTGTGTCTTCGTACAACAGAAATTTCACTGGCAGAAATGACGGGAACCCTGCTACTCATTCTTTTGTTACCTCTCCTGATCTTGTAGTCGCTCTCACCATTGCCGGCAGCCTGCACTTCAATCCTCTCACTGATAAACTCAAGGACAAGGACGGCAACGAGTTTCTCCTGAAACCTCCCACTGGAGACGGGTTGCCCGTCCGTGGTTACGACCCTGGAAATGACACATACCAGGCACCTCCCAAAGATCGCGTGGGTGTTACCGTGCAAGTTTCGCCAAGCTCCGATCGTTTGCAGGTCCTCCAACCCTTCGAGGCTTGGGACGGAAAGGACGCCAAAGACATCCCGATCTTGATCAAGGCGAAGGGGAAAACTACTACTGACCACATCTCCATGGCGGGCCCTTGGTTGAAATACCGTGGCCACCTGGACAACATCTCCAACAACATGCTCATTGGCGCCATCAATGAGGCTAATGGTGAAGCGAACAAGATCAAGAACTTTACAACGGGTGAGTGGGACGCGGTCCCCGCCGTCGCACGCGACTACAAAAAGAAGGGCATCAAATGGGTGGTCATTGGTGACTGGAACTACGGCGAGGGTAGTTCTCGTGAGCATGCCGCTCTGGAGCCTCGCCACCTTGGTGGTCTTGCCATCATTACCCGCAGCTTTGCTCGTATTCACGAAACAAACCTAAAGAAGCAAGGAATGCTTCCTCTTACTTTTGCTGACCCAGCTGATTACGACAAGATCAAGCCTGATGACAAGGTACTTGCAAATCTTCCCCACCCTGCCGTTGACGATTTATTTCGCCTCGTTCCTTGCTCTCCGGAAACCTCTTTGTGAATGAGTTGTACCATACTGACTTGTTGGACAGGTTGATATTCTCTGCACACAGCTCGCCGTTGGCCAGCCTATTACCATGGTGGTCCACCCCAAAGATGGCAAGTCTTTCGAGGTTCCCCTACAGCACACATTCAACGAGGCTCAGATCGAATGGTTCAAGAATGGAAGTGCCCTCAACACCATGGCTAAGGCCGCCTAAAAACAGTGTACAATTAGGGGCGGGGGAGATGTATTATTGGCGTCGTGGTTGAAGTATACTAGAATACCTATGTAATGGAAATTGAAGGAGCAGTGTCTAATACTGTACGATGATAGAGCTGCAAATCTACGCCGTGATTCAAACATGTTCTTTACGTCTAGGCGCCACTATCTATGCCGTTGGGGTGGAGCGACGTACGTTGACAATAGTGACAAAAGCCCCTAGAGGCTTAAGGTTTAATGTTGCCACCTGGTCGGTGCTTCGCTTATGTCAGCCAAAAATGGGTCTCTGATGGAACATCTGGTTAGCTTCGATTAGGAACTCGACGTCGTCGTCGGAGTCGACGACGTCAGGACTGCCACGGGCCCCCTTCAAGCCAAGGAGATGCGGCCAGAGTCACAACGTACCTACTGAAGTGCCTACCTCTTACAGGTATCTAGCCGTTGAAGTTCCGTACTTGTCTTCCTATATAGACACAACACGGCGCCTACAACTTGCTTCGCGCGTTGGCTTCATATACACCCCCTAACGGCCTAGGGTATAACTACTTCTTTTCGAGGTGGCCAACTCCTTATCGAACTGTGTTCACCGTCTACTTCCAGCGAACGTCTTCGGCACGGCACTCACTCGCCCCGGTCCATGTTTCACTCTTCGAGATGCATTCTTTCCTTCATGACGAGTTCATCTCCACAATAGCAGCTCTATCACAGCTTCCAGTGATTCACTGCGCTATCATTCAGAAAAGATTGATCTCATAAGACTAAGGCAGATATCTTCGCTACAACTTCGAACATCCAACTGACTACGACCGTCTGCCAAAGCGGGTTCCATTGGCCCGTTTTCTTCACACCGACAATCCAAGCGATACACAGGTTTCCAAGGAGCGTGATGAGCAACCCGCAAAGCAGCTTTTCTGTCAAAAATAACTATCACGTTCCCCCAAAAACACCCGGACAAGACAGTGAGGACTATGGGAACAAGCCACAGGGCTTGCCACCAAAGCTAGGCAACTTCCAAAAGCTGTACGAGACTCGACCGTTGGCCGTGACAGATCAGCGGGGAACGGTTACTTCTTATTCATCAGCAGCTACCGACGCAAAAGTGAATGAAGTCATCGACTTTAATGACTTGGCACAACAACCATTTACGGACCAAGTGGCGAAACTAGGAGATTTTCAAAGATTGCAGATTCACCTCCATGGTCGACATCCCGTCCTTGGTAATAATACCTTGAAAACTAGACAGCAGCTCAGTGCGGTTGGATTTGAAACAGCACCTGCGAACTGGTCGATCGGCGACAACGCTCAGAAATGTCATGGTAAAAAAGTGTGTGATGCCACAATAGCGCCACAGAACCCTCGGAGTCGCCCCTCCTGTTCTTTCTCCTGTAATGAATATCACCATCCGCAGGATACTGAGCGAACTCCGTTTCATCACTTGGTTTGTGTCGCCCAGGCGACAGATAGTTCTCTTTCAAATGATAGCTGCCTAGCATCCGGCCTCGAGCGTAATGCCAAGGCTCAACTTGGGCTTCTTTCAGCGACTTTCCACAATCCAAGAAGAGAACCAGATCGCAACCCTGGCATTCTTTGTCCGGGATACAGCAATCCCCGGTGTTCAATTCTGTCAACTGCCAAGACATGTAATAGAACGGCCAACATCGCCAGGATATTGTCGTATAAATTCGACAAAGAAGGGCCAGTCACCTCTATCCTAGGCGTAAAGTCTACCTTGGACCAGCAGCATGAATCATTGTCATTGAAGCTAGTTCCACTCCGAGCCGTAGATACCACATTGGCAATGCAAGATGACCAAACAGCCAGGAACGGAGTACACATCTTCTTAGATATGTCAAACATCAACATAAGCTTTCACAGTGCTTTAAAGGGCAAGTTCTCAATTGAGGGGCATGCTCGTTTTGTGCCGCTACCTCAACTGAATTTACAGTTTCTCACAGAAATTCTTGTTCGTGATCGGAAGATTATAACTCTCAACGCAGGCTGCTCTGTTCTGCCTCATCGCCACGAGCCTCGATTTGTTCAGGAACTCCGAGACTTGGGCTATCGTGTCGATCTTAGAGAGAGAAAACGAGCAAATGAACCTAAGAGAGGGGCAAATGATGATTTTAAAGCTGGAGAAGCGTCTTCTTCAGACGAATTGGTCTTCTCTCGCAACGGCGGTCGTTATGTAGAGGAGTTGGTGGACGAGACACTACAAACCCGTATCGCAGAATCAGTCATGGAATTCTTCAAGGATCAGGGCACACTTGTGATAGCAACAGGTGATGCACGACCAGCAAAGTATTCAGACGGATTCTTTGCCTATGCTGAAAGAGCCCTGAGAATGGGATGGAATGTGGAGGTGGTGTCGTGGAGGGCCAGCCTATCGTCCCATTGGAACAGACCAAATTGGGTTGAACAATGGAGCGGACGATTCCGAGTCATTGAATTGGATGACTATATCGACCATCTCCTAGTATGAAGATTTTTGCTGCATAACACTGCTGCTGTACTTGTCAATATCATAGACTTTAGAGCTTAATGCAGCGCTTTTCGAGATTTTCAAACTACAGTATAAATCAGGCTGGCCATGTTTAGACCCAGTTATCTCCCTCTTTCGACGGTATGAGCTCACTCAGCGGTCTATATCTTGCTACATCGAGATACTATTTACTCTCAAGAACAACACTGTATTCCAGAGTATTGGGCCGCTGATAGCTTTATTGCGGCAGAAGATTCATGCAGGAAGTATTTTTGTTTCTCCATTCTCCGTGTCATTGGTTCGACCCGTCCGGTCTAGCCGAAATCTTCCATTCTTGCGATATCATAAATTCGCTCTTTCAAATGCAGATATACAGCTCTTCACAGAATACCAAACTTACTATCTTCTAGCAAAAATCACATGCAGAACATAGCTTTCTTTGGCCTTCATGGCTAGGCATTCGTCCATTGTTCGCCTACTTGTTATCGCGACTTGACATGTGTCGTTATAGTCAAATATTTTCTGTCTCTATACACCTACTTATCTCATTTAGTGCGTAAATGGAATCAGAATACTACTCACATTTAACGTACAAATTGAACTTGCGGTACTGGCAATTGAGCATTTCGCCGGATCTAGTATTGCATGTCTCACTCAGAACCTAGAACCTGTCAACTTGCCACCACCAGACGTAGTCTATCTTTGGCATCCACTGTCTCACTACCTAGGTAGTAGGTCAAGCTACATTCCCAGTCCATCGTTGTTTATTGCTTGTTTCCATGCAACACAGAGAACATGATGAGATTCGCTGGCTGGAGTTTTGCGCAAAAACCTCAAATGTTCGATCGTCTGACGTCCAAAATGTACGGGGCAACCAGCAGAGTCCAAGGCCGGTCGTAAACAAAAGCTCTCCCATTTATTATTACTCGATGGCGTCTCTCGAAAAGGTTGACCGGCACTATGCCGTTGATCTCAGGTCGTTGACAACCGAGCATCACTTGCCGAGCCGACAAGTGTAATCCGGCCTTTGCCTTTGGACAAAGACAGTCGCTCTCCTACTGGCGATTCTTTTGGCGTAGGGCTGTGAGGCGTTCCTTTCCATCATCCTTCAGCTGGAAGAGAGAGTTAAATTTCTGCTGAAATAAGCCCCTACCTTAGCATTGATAGTCATTTGGTCTTCCCCGACTGATAGGTCGAAGTTATGTCTTTGACAACATTAATTACACTGAGCTTGGGCTTGTTGTCCTTTGCTGCTGGGAAGCCTGGTGGTAAATCTTCCTCATTTAGCTTAGTTGTTGCAGGCAGGTTATGCTGATATTCACTACACAGGAAAAAATTATGCCTATTCAATAGCCGATGGCGAGCCTTCAACTTCCGGGTTATTTGGCGTTTCATATGCAGCATATAGGTCCGACCAGAACTGCAAGTCTCAGCAAGATGTTGACGATGACATCCAGAGACTGGCAGGTTACTATTCCTTTGTCCGAGCCTACGGCACAGACTATGACCAAGTTCCTATGCTGTATTCTGCAGCCAAGAAACATGGAATGAAGCTCTTCTTGGGTATACGGAACCCGTCCTCTGTTGAAGATGAGGCCAACAAGATCATTTCTGGAGTTGACGGTGACTGGGATATGGTGCACACAGTTAGCGTTGGAACCGAGCGGGTCAGCAGCGGTGAGACATCTCCCAAGAATGTGACTTGGTCAATGAGCAAGGCGCGGTCGATTCTCCGAGAAGCGGGTTACGATGGCCCTGTGGTCATAGTAGATACCTTCACGGCGGTTTTAGCCCATCCGAGCTGCGTGACGAGTAAGACTACTGTGCAATCAATGCACATGCCTTTTTTGACGGCACGATTGATGTGTCGCAATCTGGGGAATGGTTGAAAGACACCGTAACCAAGGTTCAATCTAGGATTGCTGCAAACAAGAAGTTGTGGTTACCGAAACTGGTTGGCCAATGCAGGGTGCCACGAATGGACTTGCAGTTCCGGGTTTGGAAAATCAACAAGTGGCTTAAGATGCCATCAGGGAAGAATTTTTTGATTGGCCAGGAGATGTGATTCTATTTTCTTCTTTCAATGACTTGTGGAAACAGAAGAATGCTGCAACTTTTGATGCGGATCGGTTTTGGGGCATCGGCGGCGGGGTTTCTTCATGCGATCAGTAGCCCACACACGAGCCTTTGCTTTTTATAGAGCAGACCCGGTCTGTACAATATTTTCCTTACACATGATTCAACGTGATGAGAAGGTCACGGTGGTTTGCTACCGTTGCTGTAATTATCGTTTGCCTTGCTCGTCATTCACATACCGTGAGGTGTGCGGCATGCGGCACGCATAACATATATTCTCGTAATGAAACGAATACGTAAGGACAAAATGGTTCATGAGGGGCCCGACAGAGCTACAGAAAAGGTCAATAAGTAGACTAGTCCTTCCTGGCCTCAAGGCTAAATTCATCCAGCGTCTTGAAACGCCCAGCCTTGTCAACTCGATATGTATGAATCGTAGCCACCAATACAAGTAAGCATTCTCAATTTCCCTGCGCGTCCCTCCCTGCGTATACACCATATTGTCTTAACAGACAGCTAGTGACGAAAGTCGAGGCTCGGCCTTGAGGAATCCAAGCTGGGGCGAACTGAGCTGCTCGAGCTTCGTCGCCGCCTTGCTCGCTGCTCTGAAGGATCGGCAGGATGCAGTCCAGTGTACTTGGCGAATATATTAAGGACATCAGTCAAAGACAACACTCCACTCAGTTTCCCAGAGAGGTGCGCACCAGGCATGGCGGACGCAGGCACTGCACCAGAAGGCACCGCTGATGTAGGGGCTGCCACCGGAGCTTGAGGCGTGCTGACCACGCCATGCGACCCCATCAAGGGAGTAGCTGGAGCTGATGGCGAGGGTGACGCAGATTCCACCACCCACATGCGATGTGAACGTGTAGCAACCAGTTTGGCGACGGTGTGAGCAAGCGTAGAATACGTGTTCACGAAAAAAACGGGAAACGTATCTCGACCCTTCTCTACGCCCCGCTCATTCAAAATAACAGATATGAAATGCATGCACGATCCGTCAAGGAGAGGTGCACTAGACGCAGATATAAGATGGCGGACATCCTTGGTTGAGATATTGCCAACCACGTTCTGGCCGTTGTCAACGACTGCAACACTGCTTAATCCCTCGTTGTTCATGAGGATAAGAGCCTCCGAAAGAGGGGCATCCGAACTATGTGTTTGGTTAGGTTTGGTGCTCGAGTTTCCAATTTTTGGCGGATACAAAAGGAAATGGGAAAATCACTGACTTGACAGAGATAACTTGTTGTGCTCCTACACCCAGATCTCGTAGCATGATAGGGTACAAGCGGTCAACGGCAGGAAAGTTGACACCCTCGTTCCAGAAAAAATCAATCATCAGAAGCTGACTCATAATTCCTACAACATTGCCGAGTGAATTTGTAATAAGAATGCGATGGATTCCACTTCCTAGTATTTCGATAGCTTGGGCCAGATTGCCATTTGACGGAAGTCCGACGAGTGGTTCCTGTCTACACAGGGGCTGTATTTGTCGCATAGAGATATTCTTCCCCTCCCGAGCGTTAAGCATTATATCGTTATATAGCTCAACTTGATGTGCCTCGGGCTTTGAGAGGCCAACAACGACTAGAAGGTAAGCGTTGAGATCCGAGTAGTCAAAGGTGGCCAGAGCAGCGGGCAAGGAGCTGGATTCCCGCACAAGGACTACATTTGTCTTGCTTTTCAACAAGGCCTATATTGATGATTAGCGATTGCAACTAGTTAGGAAGCAGCACCGCGATTCAATCGGGATAACAAGGACGTATGCGTACCATTGTAGCCTCTTCCACACTACTGTCCATGTCAACCCATTTCACGTCGTCCGGTGAAACTAGCTCTCCGACTGTTATTTCAACCCATTCCTTTCCAGCAAACTTGGGGTTTGTATGCCTTTGCCCCGATGGAGGATGGTTCAACAGCTCTTGAACTGCCGCCTGAGTGAAGGAAGGGTGTCGATGGCGGGGGGATGGAGGAACATTTCGGAGGTTCTCTGCGAAACTTTGCCGGTGTGCAGACTTGTTTATATTGCTTAGTGACGGTGTTCTCTGTGGCGGACCTTCGTGATTAGAACCGCCGGAATGGCTCGGGTCAATGCTTGCTTGTCTCGGGGAACCAGAATCTCCTAACGCTTCCCCCCTTCCTTGAACGGAGCCAGGAGAAGGATCCATGAACAAAAGACAGTCCCAGTTGATGAGCTCTACGGCCGTCCAGGGTCGGGCAAGGTTGTTGTTATAGGTGAAGTTCGGCACGATAATATCTCACCCGTGGAGCAACTTCGACCACCATGTATGTGTGCAGGGCTCAACGAAGCGAGGTCACTATTATGAATGAGGGAAGAAAGGAAGGAGTCGCAACTTTTTGTTGCAGATCACAGGATTGCGTCTAACAGGAAGCTTTATGAGCCCTCTAATGGTATATCGAGTTGTCGGGACTAGCAGCTAGTTATCCGAACACGTCGATGAGGATCGGTCTGTGGCGGGGGTGGGGATATTGGGGATAAAATTACAGTTTGCGGTGACGTCGCCAATGGGAGCCGCGGTTGGTCAAGACTGGGCACTCAGGGTACCCTAGGTACCTACCTACACGTAGGTCCCTGCGTATACTTATGCTCCAGACATGTCAAGCAAGGCAATTCGTTGTCACATCCAACGCATAATTAATTTCTAGCGTCGATACTATGTATGCTGTGGTGTGCCGCTGGCAGTGGTTTTATGGTATGGAGTAGATCAACCTACCAGACTTACTCCGTTCCTGTAGCGGAAGTAATGGGCTTGTGTACAAACAATTACTTTCCAAACATCAATTATGCCAACTTCTGGCACAAACTGTGTCACCACTAGGCCGCTACCTGCCTTGAAGCGTTTGCTAGCGTCCAGTCATTTGGGCTCGCAGCATGCAGGTATCCAACTTGCCATCAATTCCAATCTCGGCAGGATTTTGGTGCATCATCCTTAAAAACATTGCGCCACCATTCTCTCACACACCTGGTTTGGCCGTGTCCCCCTACCCTAAACACCGTCGTTAAAGCCAGATTGGATTGCCTGCTGGTATTATGCGGAGTAATGTCGGCAGTGCCAATGTTCCCTCAACGAATTGGGGATGCCGATCACAGGCTATCAAATCTTTTGGCGGCCGGCCAGCCTTAACAGCACGTTGCGGCGTGCTGGTATTTCACCGAACTCGATATGCCGGAACTCGAACTCGCGGGATCTTGGAGCGCGAGGTACAACCCCGGAGGGTAACCACTGCCCTTTTGCGCTAGCCTTTAACAGGTCAACGAGGACATGCCGTGTCTTTTTTTTTTTTTTTTGGTGTTGGATGGCCAGAGCAAGATAATGATAACTCCTCTGTCGGGTCAGGCAGTGGCCGGTTTGGTGTGGTTGTTTCGAATACTACGTACGTATACTAATAAGACATCCGTCCGACATCAGCGAGATGTCGCATCAGGCATCTGTCGCCTGTCATTGCTCTACCTTCCTAGGTACCTAGGTATGTAAGTACTGGTAGATTGTTCCTTTTGCCTACCCGGGTAGGTACTAGGTAGGGTGCTGAGTCTTAAGTAGGTTGCGCATCAGGTTGACACGATTGCTGTACTCCAAGTGCCCCTGATATATGTACCACGCACGTGTACACTTACTAGTAGTTACAACAGCTTTTATTGCGTTGCGTGGGACTGTCTATTAGGTACCGGGCCCTTTCTTAATGCTCCTAGCCGCAGAACCCAAAAACCAGCCCACACCACCCGCGTCTTCCCCTCCCCCACTTTCTCTCTCCCACGAAAAGTTGTGACCCTTTGGAGGTGGTCGTGATTTTCTTCCTAGCCCTCCCTACTCCAACATACACCTGGCCTCGATCTAACGCGCGTACACGTGTCATACACAGATATCGCCAATACTCAAAAGACAAAGTCTCAGGCTGCAAGGCGCTTGCACCGCCCTGCCGCCGCGATCATGTCTCTTCTATCCGCCGATGTCCATGCCGAGCTGACTCAGTTGCTCCAAGCACTCCAGTCCGCCGACAATGCCACTCGATCTCAGGCTGAAGAACATCTTCAGAATAACTGGACCAACAGCCGTCCGGAAGTTCTTTTAATGGGACTTGCTGAACAGATACAGGGTGCTGGAGATAATGCCGTACGTGACCTATGCCATTCGCTTCTCTTGCATCACTTCTCTGATGTTTTGTTCCCAGGCTCGATCTTTCGCAGCAGTTATATTTCGTCGGATAGCCTCTAAAACCCGCAAAGTAGAGTCTGGAAATAATGTGGATGTGTTCTACTCATTGGCTAAAGATCAAGCCGCTGTCATTCGTCAAAAACTCCTGGAAACACTCGGCGCGGAACCTGATCGAATCGTTCGCAACAAGATTAGCGATGCAGTTGCGGAGGTCGCTAGGCAATATACAGACAACAGTGAGTATACAAAGGAATGCAGAAACCTCCCCTTTCCCGGAGCTAATTCTAAGTCATGGGATAGACGACTCCTGGCCTGAACTTCTGGGGGCGCTCTTCCAGCTCAGCCAGGCTCCGGAGGCGGAGAAGCGAGAGAACGCATTTCGAGTGTTTAAAACGACGCCGGGAATAATCGAGCGACAGCATGAAGAAACTGTGCTTCAAGCGTTCCAGAAAGGATTCAAAGATGATGCCGTCATGGTATGTGACAAACATGACTACATATGATGTGAAGGCAAAGTAGATATGACGAAGAAACGAGGAGTGGAAAGCTAATGATTCGGTTAGGTTCGCCTTGCCGCCATGGAGGCATTCGCATCCTTTTTCAGTACCATCACCAAACAATCCCAGATGAAGTACTACGCCCTGATTCCTGACGTCCTCAACGTGCTTCCGCCCATCAAGGATTCGCAAGATTCGGAAGACTTGAGCAAAGCCCTATTGGCTTTGATTGACCTAGCAGAAACGGCTCCTAAAATGTTCAAACAACTATTCCAGAATTTAGTCCAATTCAGCATCTCAGTCATCCAAGACAAAGAGCTGGACAGCATTTGCCGCCAAAACGCCCTCGAACTCATGGCGACTTTTGCCGATTTTGCACCGTCTATGTGTCGAAAAGATCCCTCTTACACCAACGATATGATCACTCAGTGCCTGAGCTTGATGACCGATTTAGGTGAAGACGACGACGATGCTGCGGAGTGGCTGGCTTCCGATGATGTAAGTGGAGCTATTCGTACATGATCGCTTTTTTTGGACTGCTCTGACCTTTATATTCTGCTTCAGCTTGACCAAGACGAAAGTGACCAAAACCACGTGGCGGGCGAGCAGGCCATGGATCGCTTGGCAAATAAACTCGGGGGGCAGACCATCCTGGCCCCAACCTTTAATTGGCTTCCCAGAATGATGAACTCGATGGCATGGAGAGATCGTCACGCCGCTCTGATGGCCATCTCTGCGATATCGGAAGGATGTCGCGAATTTATGATTGGGGAATTGAGCCAGGTATTGGATTTGGTCATTCCAGCCTTGCAAGATCCTCACCCTCGGGTCCGTTGGGCAGGCTGCAATGCCTTGGGGCAAATGAGCACAGATTTCGCCCCCAAGATGCAAACAGATTTTTACGACCGAATTTTGAAAGCTGTCGTGCCAGTCTTGAACTCTCCGGAGGCCAGAGTCAAGTCCCATGCCGCCGCAGCTCTGGTCAACTTTTGCGAGGAGGCGGAAAAGTCAATCTTGGAGCCATATCTTGATGATTTGTTATCTCATCTCTTTCAGCTCCTTCAGAGCGAGAAGCGCTATGTGCAGGAGCAGGCTTTGTCTACTATTGCTACCATCGCCGACGCTGCGCAGGCCGCTTTTTCTAAGTACTATGACACGCTGATGCCACTTCTGGTCAATGTACTTCAAAATCAGAGCGAGAAGGAGTATAGACTCCTTCGTGGCAAAGCCATGGAATGTGCGACCCTAATCGCTCTTGCCGTTGGCCGGGAACGACTCGGTCAAGACGCGATGACTCTCGTCAACTTGCTTGCCAACATACAGACTAACATTACGGATGCAGACGACCCGCAAGCACAGTATCTTATGCATTGTTGGGGCCGGATGTGCCGTGTGCTTGGCTCAGACTTTGTACCCTTCTTGGACAATGTCATGCCGCCCTTATTGGAGCTAGCTATGGCAAAGGCTGACATTCAGCTGCTTGACGATGATGAGCAAGCGGAACAAATGAACGGAGAAGACGGCTGGGAGTTTGTCCCTCTCAAGGGAAAGATGATTGGTATTCGAACGAGTACCATGGATGACAAACACATGGCGATTGAATTGCTGGTCGTTTATGCGCAGGTTCTCGAAGCAGCTTTCGCCCCCTTCGTTGCGAACATCATGGAAAAGATTGCACTCCCTGGCCTGGCATTTTTCTTCCATGACCCCGTCCGGTATATCTCAGCCAAACTGGTTCCACAGTTGCTAAGCTCATACAAGAAGGCATATGGATGCCCTTCCAACGAACTTGCGGGTCTCTGGGCGGCTACAGTCGGTAAACTTCTCGAGGTGCTGAGCGCTGAGCCTTCTATTGAGACCCTAGCTGAGATGTACCAATGCTTCTATGAATCCGTGGAAGTAGTTGGGAAGGATTGCCTCACCTCTGTTCATATGAATGGATTCATAGATTCAGTTCATTCGACAATCGAGGACTACCAAACCAGAGTTACCCAGCGAGCCGAGGAAAAGGCAGGGGCAACGGCAGACGATGTTGAAGACGAAGCCGAAGAGATTGAAAGGGAAATTGAGGATGACCAAACTCTATTGTCGGACATGAACAAGGCATTCCACTCTATTTTCAAGAACCATGGAGCAGCATTCCTTCCTGCCTGGGAAAGATTAATGTCCACCTACGAGAGCTTCCTGAATTCGACAGATCCAACGCAAAGGCAATGGGGTCTTTGCATCTTGGATGATGTCCTCGAGTACTGTGGACCTGAAAGCAATCGGTATGCTAATTATATCACACAACCTCTGATTGACGGCTGCCGAGATCCATCTGCAGCTATCCGACAGGCTGCCGCGTATGGTATTGGCGTCGCAGCACGTCACGGAGGAGCACCATGGACACAGTTTCTGGGAGGCTCAATACCCTATCTCTTCCAGGTTACTCAGGTTCCGGAAGCCCGAAACGACGAAAATGTATACGCTACAGAGAATGCATGTGCTGCCATAGCCAAAATCCTTCATTACAATGCTGGTAGCGTGGGGGATGTCCAAACTGTCGTTTCGCAATGGGTTGAAACACTCCCTGTCACCAATGACGAGGAGGCAGCCCCGTATGCTTACGCATACCTCGCCGAATTGATTGACCAGTAAGCAAACTTGGAATGACAGAGGAACTCATTGCAGTATACTGACCATATCACCTTGCTAGGCGTAATCCTGTAGTTTTGAATCAAGCAGGCAAGATATTCGTTTTTGTGGCACAAGCTCTGGAAGCAGAGGCGCTACAAGGACAGACGGCTAGTCGGGTTGCCTCTGCAACGAAGGCACTGCTTACGGCGACAAGTGTCGATCCAATGCCCCTTTTAAGTCAATTCTCCCCTGAAGCACAACAAACAATAATGGGTTATTTCAACTAAGACTTGGATGCAAATGTGATCGAATGATGTAGCAGAAGATGGACAAGACAAAGCTGCGCAAAGTCTCTAACGCGACGGCATGCGTAGAATATTTCAAATGACGTCGGGGGAGCAAACTACTTTGGTTCCCTTCATCTTGCATAATGCACTAGAGACACCATGCTTGAAGCAAATGCAAGAGAATGAGAAGCTGTATGGGAACGGCTGGTCGGGGCGGACTAGGATGGGTGGATGATGACATTTTACTTGGCTTGAGGACTATAGACTACGAATGGCATCATTGTTTGCCTTGAAGTGACTTACAAGCAAAGCAAAGCAAAGCAAGGATTCCAGATACAGAATTAAGAGGAAATGAGTTTTATGTGCATTCTCTGCTTTTTTCTACTTCAAACTGTGCAATCAGTGACCGGACCCGCAAACTTTGCTTCTACTAGTACGATGCCTCTGTGGAGAGGCAGAAAGGGGCAAATGATGTACGCTGTACAAACTGTTCAAACAGGTCTCTCTCCTTGAGATGTGGATATATTCCGAAGTTGAAGAAACCCGCAGAGCTTGTTGCGCCTCTGCTGTTAATACCTAGGTAGTAGGAAGATCTGGTTCTAAAGACGACTAGACAAGTGCCGGGAGTGCGACCAAAAAGTGCCAGGCACGTGCCCAAGTGTTTGTCCAATGTGATGACTTGTTAGTGGCACCAGATGTGTTGGTTGGGCTCCCAGACGTGTAGCTGTCGAGGAAATAGTACGAAAGCTCTCGAATATGTCCAGTGCAAGTAACTACTACGTTAGGTACTTAAGTACCTAGGTATTAGTAAATAATATTGGTAAGATACCTGCAAGGTGCCTACGTACCTAGGTAGGTACCTTAAGTATGCAGAAGCAAATGGAGACCAGGCAAGAGGCAAGAGGCAAAAGGTCACCATCACAACTAGGATTTGACAACCCAACAAGCTTGCTGACACTGGCTGACATGTGCAATGGCTTAAATATTACGCGGAAGGTACCGATCCATAGCCAAGTTGATTTTTATACACGGCGGGGCCGCGGGCTTACTAGCGACATACAATTAACTACATTTTGCTGGAGAGTCTAGATTGTAGTGCCAATGCACGCAACCGAGTGTTCATTGAGCCGACGGGTGAAGAGAGGACTGATTGATGGCCCACACCTGCCTGCTGCATCCGTGACTTTGAAGCGCCTTCACCTCACCCCCTCACCCGTCTTACTTCCACAGCCAAGTGATTAAAGTATATTCCAACTCCCAACACCAGCAATTACGCTCCCGCCACGCAAAAGATACCGTTAAGAACAATTTCCATCAACCCGTAACGTCCGACTCGACGTTGTGTACTTGTTACCAGAATTCTTGCTGTCGCCGCTACTGTATCCCTATCCAATCCACCCGACTTTGTCCTGGAACGCACAGAGAACCCTTGGCAAGGAAAGCCATCATTCCTGTCATCAAGTATTGGGGCTATACGGAGGAGAAGCTTTCGCGGGGAAAACTTTTCGGGGACTTCGGTTTTATTCAAGTTCGCCTTCCTATCGAGACCGTGAAGATATCCGGGGGGGGGGGAAGCTGCCCATCTTGACTGCTGTACCCGTCCCGTTGAAAGGGCGACGGAGCCACATTCGTCTTCCCAGATGCTGTTACCATGGATGACTACTACGAAACTAATGCGCTGCCTCCCCAGGAGGTGCAGCGTCAAATGCCACAACACCTCGAGGGGCAGCAACAGCCGCAGCAGCAACAGCCGCAGCAGCAACAGCCGCAGCAGCAACACACGCAGCAGGCAAGGAAAGCCATCATTCCTGTCATCAAGTATTGGGGCTATACGGAGGAGAAGCTTTCGCGGGGAAAACTTTTCGGGGACTTCGGTTTTATTCAAGTTCGCCTTCCTATCGAGACCGTGAAGATATCCGGGGGGGGGGGAAGCTGCCCATCTTGACTGCTGTACCCGTCCCGTTGAAAGGGCGACGGAGCCACATTCGTCTTCCCAGATGCTGTTACCATGGATGACTACTACGAAACTAATGCGCTGCCTCCCCAGGAGGTGCAGCGTCAAATGCCACAACACCTCGAGGGGCAGCAACAGCCGCAGCAGCAACAGCCGCAGCAGCAACAGCCGCAGCAGCAGCAGCAACAGCAGCAGCAGTCCTCCGGCAACGTCATCGACATGATCAATCGTTCATCGGTATCAGGCTCGCAAATGCCTCTGCAACCGCCACCGTCCGCGATGCCACAACTCATACCGAACCAACCGATGATATCAGGGGACTCTCTGGATGATATCATAAGGAATAATCACACTGAGATGCACCGCCGAAAGAGCATGCCCCATGCTTACGGAAGTCCCCTTATGCAAGACGAAAACCCTCGGCGAATGTCTTCTATCGCGGCCTCTGAGGATGTCATGGCTTTTGACCCAAGTCAGCATGACTTGGGAAACTTCCAGTTTTCACAGCCCGTTGGCTCATCATTTCATGGCATCAATCCAAGTTTAGAAATGACAGATCAGATGGGAGGTTTTGTTACCGATGCGGCTGACTACTCTGGAATTTCGGCCGACCTGATCGGTCCTATGAATCCACCTCCATTCGGCAACGTCGAGTTGAGCCAGATGACGAACGAGCCTTCACTATCACTCTTCCCACCATCGCCTGTTCCTGGAGCAGCGTCTGGGGCGAGGTCCATGAACAGTGCGTTTGCTTCTGGACAAATGCCCGACTTGAGTGCGACATTCGCGACAGAACCGGCGCCGAGTAGCTCAACTCTTACAACAACTTCGAATACGCTACCCGGCTCTATGGACGACCATCCCGATAGCATGATGCATATCTCGACCTCGCAGTTGAATGCCGTGAATCCACCGGCGGGTCGGGTGCCTGAAACAATGGCTGCGAACCCCGTGTCAAACAACTTGGGGCAACCGTTACCGCATTCACTGTCAGGGCACATATCTTCCGAATCAGCGATCACTCAGCCAAATTCTACATCTGGGCCCACTACTCCAGCCACGATATCAACGCCTCGAGAAAACAAGGAGAAAACAATATACTCCAAGAGTGGGTTTGATATGCTGAAAGCACTGTGGCTGGTGGCCACAAGGAAAGACCCGAAGATTCATCTCGGGGCCGTTGACATGTCATGTGCATTTGTCGTTTGTGACGTCACAATGAACGACTGCCCAATCATTTATGTGTCAGATAATTTCCAGAATCTTACGGGATACAGCCGCCATGAGATTGTAGGTCAGAATTGTCGCTTTCTTCAAGCACCAGACGGCAAGGTTGAGGCTGGATCCAAACGCGAATTCGTGGATGATGGTGCCGTTTATAATTTGAAGAAGATGATTCAAGAGGGCCGTGAGGTTCAACAAAGCTTGATTAATTATCGAAAAGGCGGAAAGCCATTTCTAAACTTGCTGACCATGATACCGATACCATGGGACACGGACGATATCAGATATTTCATTGGATTCCAGATCGACCTCGTCGAATGCCCAGATGCTATTTCAGGACAAGAGCTCGGTGGCGTCAAAGTCAATTACAAGCACAATGATATTGGTCAGTATATCTGGACACCGCCAGCTTCCAGTCAATGGGAGCCAGAGAACGGGCAAACGTTGGGCGTTGATGATGTATCAACACTCCTTCAGCAGTTTAGCCCAAAGGGATTGGTGTCTGATTGGCATAAGCAGTCCTGGGATAAGATGCTGTTGGAGAACACCGATGATGTTGTTCATGTCCTGTCTCTTAAAGGATTATTCTTGTATTTATCCCCGTCTTCGAAGCGAGTTCTGGAGTATGATGCTATTGACCTCGTCGGCAATTCATTATCCTCGGTTTGCCATCCCTCCGACATTGTACCTGTTACACGAGAATTGAAGGATGCGACAGCTAGCACCCAAGTTAATATTGTTTTCAGGATAAGACGGAAGTCAAGCGGGTATACGTGGTTTGAAAGTCACGGGTCATTGTTTGTTGAGCAGGGTAAAGGTAGGAAGTGTCTCATCTTGGTTGGCCGCAAACGACCTGTCTTTGCACTTAGTCGCAAAAACTTGGAGACAAATGGTGGCATCGGCGATAGTGAGCTGTGGACCAAGTTGTCGACTTCGGGAATGTTCTTGTTTGTTTCATCGAACGTCAGGTCGTTATTGGATTTACAGCCCGAATCACTTGTCGGCACAAGCATCCAAGAGCTCATGCGAAAGGAATCTCGCCTTGAGTTCGGGCGATCAATCGAAGTGGCTCGTCGAGGGAAAATTGTTACTTGCAAGCATGAAGTCCAGAATCGTCGAGGCCAGGGTCTACAGGCCCAAACCACACTGTATCCGGGTGATGCTCCAGAAGGGCAGAAGCCATCATTTCTACTCGCACAGACAAAGTTGCTGAAAGCGTCGTCCAGGAGTGTTATCCCAGCGACTGCGACGAGCAATAGCAAAGCAGCCTCAACATCATCTCATTCTAACGCGATTCCTGAATTACATTCGGGTGCCGGGCAACTCTCCCAACCGACGGGAGGGACTTTGCCGCCCGGGACACAGGATGCAGCCTTAGCAGCCGAAGACAACATCTTCGACGAGCTTCGCACGACAAAATGCTCCAGCTGGCAATTTGAGCTGAGGCAGATGGAGAAGGTGAATAGGATTCTTGCTGAAGAGCTTGGTGGGCTTCTGTCCAACAAAAAGAAGAGAAAACGACGAAAAGGGGTCGGAAATATGGTCAGAGACTGTGCAAATTGCCATACTCGCAATACACCAGAATGGCGACGTGGCCCAAGTGGACAAAGGGATCTGTGCAACAGCTGTGGACTCCGTTGGGCCAAACAGGCAAGTTTTCCCTGAGCAATTTACAGGTTTATCTTCATACTCATTCCCGTCTTAGACCGGACGTGTGTCGCCGCGGAACTCTTCTCGGGGAGGCAATAATGGCAACGGTGATTCACAGAGCAAGAAGTCTCCATCTCCGATTCATTCATCTCCTTTGCATAAAGAACTTGCTTCTGAGAACTCGGCTTCGCAAACTGTAGCAGCCAAAGGCGACACAGACGAGACCGACAGGCTGAATCCCTCACAGCTAGGCAACCACGTTTCCAACGATGCATCGGAGTCCAACTTGGTTCAAAGACAGACAATGGCGATGCCACCTCCAAGCCAGCCCTCACTTTCGAGTAGTGTAGCAGGCTCGGGTATGACGTCTATTCGTGAAGAACAGGAAGCGAGTCAGTCGTAGACTACATGATGACACGCTGCATTCCTTCTTTCCTTCCTTCCTTTGCTTTTACTTCTACCGCTGATGTAGTTGCCTGTTGCAAGTTTGCACTGTACCAAGACAATGCCAGTATTTACCTGCTCCTCAAGTTTGCAATGCCCTCAGGCAACCCAACTCTATTCAAACTGGTCCAAGACTCTTCTACCTTGCCTCCTTGATACCCCTTCGTCATCGGTATTGGATGGCTGTATGTGCTATCCGCGTGCGGACTACTTAATGAGCTGGTGAATAAAGCTGTTTTTGGTGAAACAATTGGGTCATGGTCGGCTACGGATAAGATAAAGTCATCCTATACATTGACCTATTTGGAAATGTGCTTCACCACGGCGCTCCGCGGTGTGGGATATGTTTTTCTGGCTGGGGGAGCTTTTTGGCATATACGAGGCATTGAGAACTTAGCACATATACGGAGTACGAGAATATACGAAACCAAAGTGCTTCCACTTATTTTCTAATTCATCATATGTCCGGCACAAATTGTCGTGTTGTGCACGGCCTTGTAAATGGCTAGCATCCTACCATGTCTTGCGCCTCTATAAATAGGAATATGATGGAGAGGAGGCAGTGGTATGATCCTGACTTAAACTTGGCGTTACGGCTCTGCTGAGACTTGGCAAAGCCACACGAGTGAGTACATGTATGATGTAATCCCCTCTGGTGCGATAACTCCAATAGAGTATCTGCAGGGATATATATATCCAATAAGAAGCTGAATTTAAAAAGGTACATTTACTTACTATTAAGTGATAATAAGTGTACCCATAAGATAGTAATTTACAAATCACTACATTTAACTTAGTACAGTCATAGCGCGATTAACGGGTCGCCCTAAGGTCGCCCGCTATCAGCATGGGCATTGTGGAGCTCGCAACACCTTTGGAGCCTTATCGCACCAGAGGGGCTATAACAAAGCACGGGGCACAGGGTACCAGCAAGGGAGCAGGTTGGGGTTTGCTGCGGACAGTATTAGCCAACCCCACCATAAGCTCCCGGGAGGGGCTGGGTAGATAGAGATGATGCTTCATTCTTTCTTCCCATGATTTGATAACTGGCAAAACCACCAGAGGAAACATCAGGTCAGACTTATACAAAACCCTGACGATTTGCGCTTAAGAAGAGCGACCCTAGGACTGGACTCCCTTTGTTAAAGACGCTAGTTGATGCCTACCACTGTAAGATCATACTGCTTGCTTCCCGAGCAGCTTGTGCAAATACTGACCATCGCGCAAGTCGCCTGCCTAGCAGCTTCACGCGAAACGAAAATGCCGAAATACCATGTCACTCCCCTTTATGGAGGTGCGATTGTTTGCGACATACCAGAGAAGTTTGCCGATGTCAGGTAAGCCACAGAGAAAATCGAAACTGGGACCGAGGCCATCTCTCATCATATCGATCACGGCATAACATGTCCACAGCAAACTACGTCAAGTGCCAGATAACCAAGAAGTATGGATCGATAAGGACGGATTTACCAGCATCATATTTGATATTACAGAGCGAGTTGGCGAGCCGGGACATGGCCCCGAGATCGATGGTCGCGCAATGACGACACACCTAGAAGACATGGTAGGGTCAGATATTGATACTGTAAAGATCTGGAATACCGCAGAAACCGAGTTTTCTCGCCTCGAGTACGTGCCCCATTGAGCAGTGAGAAATATTCGGCTGGGGACATCTGCTTTTTGTAACGTGACTCTGGCTAATATGCGACACTGGGTTCAGGTCGAAACCCCCAGCGTATACGCTCATCGCCACCCAGACCCCCAGGATCGGGCAATCTCGTCAAGGCGGCTCGCCACCAGACTTCACAGCTATCATAATGACTCTATTGCGGCTGGAGAAATACAAATCAGATATTCTCATTACAATCAACGTGCCGCATATAAAAGGGGAGTATGACGAAGACGAGGTTGACCTAGAGCTTGGCAAGCAGGGTAAGCTGATTGGAGATGCCGTGGAATACTCGGCTCGGATCTGGGAATCGCTTAAGATTAAAGACTGGGGGCTATTTGGAGAATCGTAACTTGGATATGAAACGGCAACTACCAGATGCTGTATTCGAAATAGTTTTGCATTGGCTCTATCAACTAGCAGGTGCTGTACAACTGCACATTGTCTCAAACGTACTAGGGCTATTTCACCATTTCACCAGTACGCTGAGACTGAGAGGAAGTTCTTATGGAGAGCTTTCTGGAGTACTGTTTCTTTCGGCAGATTCTTGATCCAGTTTGAAATCTGGTTTAAATACTAGTCCGTATGACCATTAGTATATGAAATCCCTATTGTACAGGCCTAAACGCCACCCTATTGCTTGAGAAGAGTGCCACAACTGCTTATTGCTCCTGTTATTTAATCACCAAGAGTTAAATCATCCATTAATTTGGTAGTAAAATGGGCCTCGTCTGGTTGTTTCCCTATTACTGTGTCCTCTGTTGTATGGGATCTGGCATTCTTCTGCTTCTTCTTCTCATCAGCCCATTTTCCGGCGATCATCTTCAAAATTTCTCGCTGCGGAACATCAGGATTTTCCTGCTTCACCAATTTCATCTGATCCTTCACAAACAGCTGGTATTCGCTTTGCCCTGACGCGCCTTTATTATTTGCGACATTGGCTCTTGGGGCAGGTTTGACTTGCTTGAGCTCGCCTTTGCAGGTCCCGCATCGGTGGCGCTGCGTATCAATACTTCTAGAATGCCTCTTGTACTCCAGTCTGCAATCAGTACACTCCCATTTATACTTGAAATCAATTTCGTAAGCATGCTTGGTGGTTACGTGAATGCCCCTGTGGCCGAAGATACGGGAGCATTTTGATGCCCAGGACTTGAACTCTTTCCCATGGGGATTAGTCGTCAAACCGCTAATCATGAAGGTAGTCAAATGACAGAATTCGTGTGCCAGCACATTAAGAAGCCTGTTTTCATCATCGATGACTTTGTCGGCAAGTTCGATTGAAGCATGGTGTTTATGCATTGTGTCAACAATTGATCCGTCAGATTGCTTAGTTCGGACGGTCTCACGTCGCCAGTTCGCCCGGCCGGCGGTGGTGTGAAGACTTTTGGTCCAGACAATCTTCACGCCATTTGTAGAGTTGGTTAGTTTGGAAATCTGACCGTTTGCAATTTGAAGATCCAGCTCCCGAACAAAATTTTCAGCTATGGCTTGTTTTGTCGCCTCGAATTCCATCTTCTTTCCTTTCCTCGAGACCTCTTTCGACTGGTTGACTGGGCATGCGGATTTGATCTGTTTTTGACGAGTAAGCTCGCAATTCCAGTCGTCAACAAAAGTCTCAGCCAAGGACGCATTTGAGGCAGATCCACGTGGCTTCTGTGGAATAGGCTGATGCTTGCGAGATGAGCTCAGAGTTTGAGGAGGACTGCTAGGTGGTGTGATGAAATCGGACAGCTTATGTTTGGGCTTGGGACCGTCGGCAGTGGACAGCTCATGAGAATCTATCCGCATTTGTTCAAACAAGCTCAACAAGTTCTTGTCATAGGATGGTGTGATAGACTGAATAGGCGAGAGCTTCCCTGGCAGGGCTGATTCATTGTCGAGTTTACTCGATAATACCCTGTTTGGACTCGGAACATTCCCTCCAATTGGCTTCAGCGGTCCTTCGTATCCAGTCTGCTCAGTATTATTATAGTCTGTTGACACAGATGGCCGTTCATAATCAAGTGAATTATTTGTGAATTTGCCAATGCCGGGAGGGAAAGATACAGACGCGGATCCTGGGTCGAGAATGGAAAAACTGCCTGTCTTACGATTATCATCACAGCAATAATCCGATCTATCAACAGCCAAAGTGCTGGTGATACTCGAACTATGGGCTGAGTTTTCCGCAGATGTTTGTTGATGCGACCCGTGATTAAAAAGCTCCTGGTCCAAGGATGATTGTAGAGTCCAGGACATTGTTTGACTAGAACTATCAAGACTCTCTCGTATCCGAGCGGAACCAAATCTCGAGTTTTTCCTTTCTCGCTCTTCTGTCGCTAGTGGAAATAAGCTGCCTTTCCTCAGCACTTCTGAGCAGCCTTTTGCTTTTCGTGTAGGAGAGATGAGACTAAGTGCGTTGATGCGAGCTGGACGAGCTAATGCTGGAGGAGAGTCGTTTTCGAATTCAGTAACCAAGCCCAGCTTTGCAGGAGATTCTCTCATGGTGGTCTGCGAGCGAGCTTGTATTCCATCGTGATCGTGTGCGCTCCATGGCTGGAATAAGGGGTTGGCGGCTGCCTGACCACGTCCACGCAGTCGTCGCATTTTGCGACTTGAGGCGGTTTGGGTAGTTTTAGGTACGAGATCTCTTCTAGTCGGAGTAGAAATACGAGGAACAGAGTTTGTGCACTCAACCTCGGAATTACTACCCTTTTGCCTCGACACCTGCCTCGACCGTATACATTGATGTGGCAATTCACCATCACTCGTAGGCCAATAATCAGCCAACCGAGCCATTTCCACTACGAACTGGAACTGTGTGGGCTGCAAGGTGGGCTGCAAGGGGACAGACAGATTATCGTCTGACCACAAGATGTGTAAACCAAAAGAGACGAATAAGAGCTATTTTCGTACAATGACAAAGAATGCTATGATATGGACACCACATAAGCACCAATTTCTGGTCGAATGCTAGAGTCCGTAAACACAGGCGGTTTATGGAGCAGAAAGGGTTGTCACAGCAACGGAAGTAGTCACGTGCACCTAGATGGGGTTGCTGGCCAATGATTTTCGTGACATTTCTGTGTGCATTTCGGCATGTAAGCATCAATCCCTTTGAATGTGTCAAGGTGCTGCCGCCTTTGTATCTACTCCAGAACACCCTTGTCGAGTATTTCTACTTGTACGGAGTACGAGGCCTAATAAAATATGACCAATGTATCCCCTCTGGTGTGTTAAGGCTCCAATCGAGTATCTGCAGGGATATATGTCCAATAAGAAGCTAAGTTTAAATAGGTACATTTACTTACTAGAAAATTAAGTGCGAATAAGTGTACTTGAATGATAATATCTTACAAGTTACTACATTTAACTTCATATAATCCTAGCGCGATTAACGGGTCGCCTTACGGTCACCCGCTATCAGCATGGGCGTTGTGGGGCTCGTAACCCCACTGGAGCCTTAACACACCAGAGGGGATTAGGGACGATTAAGAGTACTTTTATCATCATAATGAATACGTCAGTATATATGTACTTTCCTAACACTTAATTCTCATTGGATATTATCCCCGCAAGGGACCTCGCTGGCACCTTAACACAAAGGGATGGATATGAGAAACATGGAACATGTATACTCCGTACACCGTACAGTGTAGGGAACGTGGAGGTAGTGACATGGAAGTTTTCCATATCTACGGACTGAGTGCCTACACGCTTGGTGGCGTTCTTGCAACGCGTATGTAACCGTATTTTCGGATCGTGGTGCATGCTTTCCGTATGGAGACGCCGTGCAATGCCGACTGTGCCGCCTTGTCCTGGCGCCTTGGTGCTGATGAAAGGGTCTGGTTCGTCACAATCTGCTCCACAAAACTCTTGCCCCTGAATGTGGCTGTGCCAGAACCGAACTCCCTGGTAAACTCCAAGGTTCCTTATCGAATACCCAGTCAAAATTGGGGACGTGCCAGCCAATTTAACAATAGTTCGGTGTTGCACAAAAAAATTTATAGGTACCTAGTACGTGCATAACACAGTTCAGAGCAGAGGTTTCTTCTAAGTACTCTAAACACCTGGGCAGTTGACCCCTCTTGCCCCTGATTTATGTACCTACCTAGGTAGGTAGGTAGGTTTAGGTACCTAGGTAGGTAGATACTTGCTTTAGCTACTTAGAGGTACTCACCTATAGGTACCTAGGTAGGCACGTATTTCGACTTTTCCTTTAGTGTTCACAACACCCCGTACTCCAGGCACTCGATACTACTAACTGAGGACACTATTCTATGTACAGTTCTTTACCCGCACATTTTCTTACATGTCCTCATGCCTATCCAATTGGGCACGAGGCTTTGGCTTCAGAGGATGGGCGTGTTTTGTTTGGTAAGAGTTGTCCACGGGATTGGTACCTACTAGTACTAGGTACTCGTTAAGTCAAAATGGTTTGGCAATATCAAAGCGCAGCGACTTACCTAAATACCCCCATATCATGGCGCCTGCGATGTTCGGACTACAAGTTATGTAGAGCATTATGACACAACCTCGCTAGTTCGTGGCCTCCCCCGTGGCAAAGGCAGAAGCAAGCGTAGAAGAAAAAAAAAGTCGGCAGGGGATGCATCCGCATTCGCGGTAGTATCTGACGGCATCAGCATTTTTCGCCACACGATCGTGTCGGCTGAAAAGACCCCCACTTGGCGCGCCTAATTCTATTAATGTAATCGCCATCGGTGTGCCCTAACTATTTGCGGACATAAACGTAACGGGTCGAGTACTGGGGAGTGACACAGTGCAATTCTACTTAAGTACCTATGTACTTAGGTTTGAACACCTAATAACCTACCTGCCAGATACACAAGTAGAAGCCTACTTAAGTAGGCGTCTTGCTCCAATGGGCTGAAGGCTTAGTTGGACGTTTCACAATGCGAAGTCCCTTGAAAGGCTTGACAATATCTTCGAGACTTGTTCAGTAACATTGCCATGTCGAATGCCAACCTTGAACAGACGGACTTGGATGAAGCACCAGTGTACGCGTCTTGTGGAGGCGCTGAGGGGCTTTATTCTACCAGACGGTTAAGCTGTAACCACCACGACCTCTTGGGGCTTTTTCCAACCCTGGAGTCTTGGGTAATGGAGCGAGGAACAACCTGTACTAGCTGGCCTCGCTTGTCTGGCACATGTCTGGTGGAAGTCTATTTTTCACGGCTACCGGTATACTGCTAGAGGCGGTTGGTGTGCTATGACAATCAACTGGGCTCACTCGTTCGCTCTGCACTGACTGCGGCCCATTGGCGTCCACGTCTGTGATGTGCTGGCATAGGTTCCTGTGCGACTTGTGTGCAATCGCGACCCCACAAGCTTGCTAATTGAAGCAACAGGGGATTGTTGTCGGGAGGTTGGGCAGACGGGGCCAACCGCGGAATATACATACCCAGTACCTGCCTAGTACCTACTAAGGAGTATCTAGTACGGAGTAGGTACCTAGTAGGTACTTACGTTAGCACTGAATGTGCACCGGCGCTTCGTCAAGATTCTGTGGCATGTACTTTCGTAATCCGGGTCAAAGATCAGACGGAGTAGCATTTCAGGAGGAATTTCATTGAAAAGAGCTCAGGAAGCGACGGTAGACAGGTAGGAGACCGGACATGCTGAGGGCAAAAAGGCTTTTCCAAGGGGCGCGCCAACGGGGCCCGAGTCTGCATTGGATTTGAGCAAGAATGTGGAGAACAGAAGACTGACCAATAGTGCATCACGCTGACCCGGTCAAAGTATCTAGGTACCTATACTTACTAATTACCTCAATAATATCGCAATCCCCACCTTTGGACAAGTTTATCATAGTACATACACTGCACTTTTGTATGGTGTGTACAATGAACCACTTTCCACTTTCCTCTGCCCCTTCCACTAAGTCCTTCCAAGGTTTTTTGCGCTGTCCTTGATGTTCAAAGTGGACAGGGAAACGCCATTCTTGAGCAGTCTCATCCAGTCCACAAGTGTCAGCCACCCGGTTGGTCGCCCGTCCGCCCACCCAGTCTCCCTCCCTATCCGAATTGTTTGTCAAACTTGTCTCCTATACCTCCCTGACTCGGCTTTACCCTCTCTATCCTTCCACTCTTCAACCCACGTTCAACGGGAGCATTACGCTGACCGTTCTCGCGAATCTGCAGAGGCTTAGCCTACTGATTTCTCTCGCTCTCCTTGCACAGTCTATCGCTCGTTGATGTTTTTGTATTCGTCTATATTCCACATTCTCACGCTCATTTGAACCAGTGGTGCCAGTAACAGCACTTCGACGCTCACTCAACGCTCGATTCCAACACACGTATAACGTCCTCTTAGACTGTCGGGCCGGTCTCGTACCTCCACACTATCCATCTCACGTCGATCGCCTCCTGCGTTCAATTTTCGAAACATCACATGGATTGTTTTGCGTAGATTGACCACTTTGGGCAACAATGTCGGGCTATCCAGGTGGTCACAACGACCATTATGATGATGGCTATGGCCATCACGGCAGCAACGCTCAAGGGAATGCGGACTCGTATTATCAGGACGATCAGTACTATGACAATGGTTATGATGCACGTGGGGGTCATGGAGGCCAAAACGGAGACGGGTATTATGACGAATCGTAAGACACTCGGACGACACGCTGGCAGCTTACATATCTCACACTAACTATTCCCCTCCAACAGTGGCTACTACAATGCCGATCCGAATAACCCTTATCATCAAGATGGTGGTTACTACGACGGGCATGACCAGTATCAAGATGAATATTACAACGGCCAAGGTGGTTACTACGAGCAGGATTACAATCAAGGCTATGGTGGCCACGGCGGCCGCCATGGGTCTGAGGAAGATTCTGAGACATTCAGCGACTTCACAATGAGGTCGGATATGGCTCGCGCTGCTGAAATGGACTACTACGGTCGCGGGGACGAACGTCATAACAGTTATGGCGATGGCCACCGGGGTTATCGACCACCTTCCTCACAAATTTCATATGGTGCAAATCGCTCATCTGGTGCATCAACTCCCAATTATGGAATGGACTATGGCAATGTGCTTCCCGCTGGTCAACGCTCCCGGGAACCATATCCTGCCTGGACATCTGACGCTCAAATCCCATTGTCCAAGGAAGAAATTGAGGACATCTTCTTGGACCTCACCGGCAAATTTGGCTTCCAGCGTGATAGCATGAGGAACATGTACGACCACCTTATGACTCTGCTTGACTCCCGCGCTTCTCGCATGACGCCCAACCAAGCCTTGCTCTCCCTTCACGCTGATTATATCGGCGGCGACAATGCCAATTATCGCAAATGGTACTTTGCGGCTCACCTTGATTTAGACGATGCTGTTGGTTTTGCCAACAGGTCAACAAAGGGCTTACGCCGCAAGGCCAAGAATAAGAAGAAGAAGAATGCTGACGAAAATGTCAACGAAGCCGATGCGCTTCAAGATCTGGAAGGTGACGATAGCCTGGAAGCGGCTGAATTTCGCTGGAAGACTCGAATGAACCGCATGTCACAACATGATCGTGTCAGACAGATTGCTCTGTACCTCCTCTGCTGGGGCGAAGCCAACCAAGTGCGATTCATGCCGGAGTGCTTGTGTTTCATCTTCAAGTGTGCAGATGACTATCTTAATTCCCCTGCCTGTCAAGCCCTTGTTGAACCAGTGGATGAGTTTACTTACCTGAACAATATCATCACGCCACTCTATCAATATGTTCGCGATCAGGGATATGAGATTCTTGATGGTGTTTACGTGCGCCGCGAACGTGATCACAAGCATATAATTGGATATGATGATTGCAATCAGTTGTTCTGGTATCCAGAAGGCATTGAGCGCATTGTATTACAAGACAAAAGCAAGCTGGTAGATGTTCCGCCGGCAGAGCGTTATATGAAGCTGAAAGAGATCAACTGGAAGAAATGCTTTTTTAAAACGTACAAGGAGTCGAGATCCTGGTTTCACCTTCTCGTCAACTTCAACCGAATTTGGATCATTCATCTCACAATGTTTTGGTTTTATACAGCGCACAACGCCCCGTCGCTTCTTGTGGGCAAGGATTATCAGCAGCAGCTGAATCAACAGCCAGCCGGATCCCGACACCTCGCTGCGGTCTCTATTGGCGGAGGCATAGCATCACTCATTCAGGTTTTGGCTACACTTGCTGAATGGGCATATGTCCCCCGCCGATGGGCTGGCGCACAGCATTTGACCAAGCGCCTTCTTTTCTTGCTCCTCATCTTCATCATCAATGTTGCCCCTGCGATCAAGGTTCTTTTCATGCCCACCAAGCTAAAACAATCAGGCGATGTGGATATTGACTACATCATTGGTATTGTCAACTTCATTATCGCAGTGATTACCTTCCTGTTCTTCTCAGTCATGCCTCTGGGTGGTCTGTTTGGTAGTTACCTGACAAAGAATTCGCGGCAATATGTGGCAAGCCAAACGTTCACAGCCAGCTGGCCACGTCTGAAAGGAAATGACATGGCAATGTCCTTCGGCCTGTGGTTAACCGTGTTCGGAGCCAAGTTCGGAGAGTCATACGTATACCTCACACTCTCCTTCCGGGACGTTATCCGCTACTTGTCAATCTTCAAGCCCATATGCATAGGTGACAGTATCCTGCAGACGTACCTGTGCTCCAACCACACGTATATTCTGTTGGCTCTCATGGCGTTTACGGATCTGATCTTTTTCTTCCTGGACACATATCTCTTCTATGTTCTTTTGAACACGATTTTCTCCATTGCCCGATCTTTTTATATCGGCTCATCAATTTGGACACCTTGGAGAAATATCTTCTCTCGTTTGCCCAAGCGTATTTACTCCAAAGTTTTGGCAACGACGGACATGGAGATCAAGTATAAGCCAAAAGTCCTGATTTCACAAGTCTGGAACGCTATTGTCATTTCAATGTATCGTGAGCATCTGCTAGCGATAGATCATGTACAGAAACTGCTGTATCATCAGGTGCCTTCTGAACAGGAGGGTAAAAGGACGTTGCGAGCTCCTACATTCTTCGTCTCGCAAGAAGATCATTCCTTCAAGACAGAGTTCTTCCCCAGCCAAAGCGAAGCCGAACGCCGAATCTCCTTCTTCGCGCAATCGCTATCGACTCCTATTCCTGAGCCACTTCCTGTTGATAATATGCCAACGTTTACAGTTATGATTCCCCACTATAGCGAGAAGATTCTTCTCTCTCTTCGTGAAATTATTCGCGAGGATGAGCCATATTCCCGCGTCACACTGTTAGAGTACCTCAAGCAGCTGCACCCTCATGAATGGGACTGTTTCGTGAAGGATACCAAGATTCTCGCAGACGAAACCGCGCAAATGAATGGCGACCCAGAAAAGGATGAAAAAGATACAGCGAAGAGCAAAATTGATGACCTCCCCTTTTACTGTATTGGGTTCAAATCATCCGCTCCTGAGTATACCCTGCGAACTCGCATCTGGGCCTCACTTCGCTCGCAGACGCTGTACCGTACCATTTCCGGTTTCATGAACTACAGTCGAGCCATTAAGCTGCTTTACCGAGTAGAAAACCCGGAAGTTGTGCAAATGTTTGGCGGAAATTCGGACAAGTTGGAACGAGAACTGGAGCGAATGGCTCGGCGAAAGTTCAAAATTGTCGTTTCAATGCAACGTTACTCAAAATTTAAAAAGGAAGAGATGGAGAACGCAGAATTCCTGCTTCGGGCTTACCCTGATCTTCAAATCGCGTACCTGGACGAGGAACCCCCTTTGGCAGAAGGTGATGAGCCAAGACTTTATTCGGCTCTCATCGATGGCCATTCTGAGATTATGGAGAACGGCATGAGACGACCCAAATTTAGAATTCAACTTTCAGGCAATCCTGTCTTGGGCGATGGCAAATCTGACAACCAAAACCACTCTTTGATTTTCTATCGGGGTGAATATATCCAACTTATCGATGCTAACCAAGACAACTATCTGGAAGAGTGCCTTAAAATTCGCAGTGTTCTTGCCGAATTTGAAGAAATGAAAACGGATAATACATCACCGTACACACCCGGGGTCAAGAACGAGATCAGAACTCCAGTTGCCATTCTTGGTGCCAGAGAGTATATTTTCTCAGAGAACATCGGTATTCTTGGTGATGTAGCCGCTGGAAAGGAGCAAACATTTGGTACGCTTTTTGCGCGAACCTTGGCGCAGATTGGAGGCAAGCTTCACTACGGCCATCCTGATTTTCTCAATGGCATCTTCATGACTACCCGCGGAGGTGTGTCCAAAGCACAAAAGGGTTTACACTTGAACGAAGATATCTTTGCTGGAATGAACGCTATACTTCGTGGTGGACGGATCAAGCACTGCGAGTACTATCAGTGTGGAAAGGGCCGTGATCTTGGTTTCGGTTCCATCCTGAATTTCACAACAAAGATTGGAACAGGTATGGGCGAACAGATGCTCTCGCGCGAGTACTACTATCTGGGAACACAACTGCCGTTGGACAGATTTTTGTCCTTCTACTATGCCCATCCCGGTTTTCACGTCAACAATATGTTTATCATGCTCTCCGTACAGCTGTTCATGTTGTGTCTGGTCAACTTTGGTGCCTTGAGGCATGAGACAATTCCTTGCGACTACAATCCTGACAAACCCCCTACTGACCCGCTGTACCCTACTGGCTGTGCCAACACAGACGCCGTGATGCAGTGGGTACAACGCAGTATCTTCTCCATCTTTTTTGTGTTTTTCCTATCCTTTGTTCCTCTAATTGTTCAGGAACTTACGGAACGCGGTGTTTGGCGTGCCTTGGTCCGCTTCTTGAAGCAATTCTTCTCTCTGTCTCCATTTTTTGAAGTGTTTGTGTGCCAGATTTACGCGAACTCTGTGCAGCAGGACCTTTCGTTTGGTGGCGCTCGATATATTGGTACTGGGCGAGGTTTTGCTACTGCCCGTATCCCTTTTGGGGTACTCTACTCCCGTTTCGCTGGGCCCTCAATCTACTTCGGCGCCAGATTATTGATGATGTTGCTTTTTGCTACAGTAACTGCCTGGCAGGCAGCGTTGACATACTTCTGGATCACGCTCTTGGGTCTCACAATTTCTCCATTCTTGTACAATCCGCACCAATTCGCATGGAACGACTTTTTCATTGATTATCGCGACTTCCTTCGCTGGCTCTCTAGAGGCAACTCAAGGAGCCATGGGCAATCTTGGATTGCCTTTTGCCGCCTGTCGCGCACAAGGATCACGGGATATAAGCGCAAGGCTCTTGGTGAAGCATCGGCAAAACTATCTGCTGACGTCCCACGTGCTGCTATCGCCAACATTTTCTTCACTGAAATTTTAACGCCTTTATTGCAAGTTGTCTGGACCTTGATACCGTACTTATTTATCAATGCGCAGACCGGCGTTGAACAGTCCAATAATCAGGATATCAGCAACGTGGATGAATATTTGAAACCTACTGCGAGTCTTATTCGAGTACTGGCTGTTGCCTTAGCACCCATCGGTATTAATGCTGGCGTACTTGCGGCAATGTTTGGAATGGCTTGCTGTATGGGTCCCGTATTGAGCATGTGCTGCAAAAAATTCGGCAGTGTACTTGCAGCTATTGCGCACGCCATGGCGGCTATTATTATGCTCATCATGTTTGAAGGCATGTTTTTTTTGGAAGGCTTGAATTTTGCTCGAACACTGGCTGGGATGATAGCTGTGATTTCTATCCAGCGATTCATTTTCAAGCTGATCGTAGCGATTGCTCTGACCCGAGAGATGAAGACCGACCAGTCTAACATTGCATTTTGGACGGGTAAATGGTACTCCATGGGCTGGCACTCGTTGTCGCAACCAGGCCGCGAGTTCCTTTGCAAAATCACAGAACTCAGCATGTTTGCAGCCGACTTTATCCTAGGGCATTGGCTGCTTTTTATGATGCTGCCGGTAATTCTAGTTCCACAGGTGGACAAGCTTCACTCTATGATGCTCTTCTGGTTGAAACCAAGGTACGTTTCTTCTCATCCTTAATGATTACTTCTATTGAAGAAAGGCCTAATTATATTGTAGTCAGCAAATTCGACCACCCATTTATTCTATGAAACAGTCTAAATTGCGTCGTCGACGAGTAACTCGATACGCCATTCTCTACTTCGTTTTATTGGTTGTATTTGTTGGACTCATTGTTGGACCGGTCGTCTTGAAAAAGGCAAATGTGTTGACAACCGACAACTTTAAGAAGTGGTACACCAGTCTTCAGCCTGGTAAAATGCGTCTCATGCAACCCAACTTCCTGAACAACAAGAACACACATCAAAGCTCAGAGACTGGCACAGCCAACCCAACCTACTCATACCCGTCCAACTACGGCCCTTCGTCAGAGTCCGGCTCGGCACAAACGACATCCTAGGTGAACTGACTCTTCCGAGTATGTACAATACGAAGCCGATCTGATAATGACGCAAATCTGTGTCGGGATTTGTGGGTAGCGAAACACGCGAGTTGCGGCGACTCAAGGGCAGTGCGTTGTGATGTTAATGTCTTTTTATTTTGCCCTGTACGTGTTCATGTTTATAGAATGCATGGAAGACAGCTGTCAGTGTGAAGGTATTGGCTCAGTTTGCGTTTTCCTTTCCAGTTTCACGGGGACAGATCATTTACTGGTTGCTTTGTTTTAGCCGAGCTACAATTGTAAAGCTACTAAAAAAAAAATACGAAGATGATTGTTGCGATTTAGTTATTTAGACATTGGGATAATGAAAGCAAGTGATTGGTTGATTGATTGTGAAGATAATTTCGCGTAATTATGGCTCTCAACATGTGATCCTGGTCCAAAAGACACAGCTGAACCTATTCATGCGCATCCTGCTCTTCCTGTTGTACCTTGTACCTGAACATTCTTGATGTGCGGACGAATTCTTGATAGTTGGTCTGCGTCACCATAGCCTGCGAGGCGAATTGCCTTGTCTGGTGGCCTGCTAACTTAATTAGTGGTGACTGATTCGCAGCGCTCACGGCCTCCGCTGAGGTGCTGGTTGGCCTCGCATGAAAATCAAGCAGGAAATTCGAACGAACAGGAACAGAACCCCGGATCCTAGAGAACCTGACTCTCTATGCACTTGGTGGTTCACACAGTCTCGCAAGGCCGCTTGGCCCCAAGAAGGCAACCCAGCTACTAGCTGTACAGGCTGCCGTCCCTGACACTGAATGTCTCGTTCAAATTCGGAACCCACTTTAATGATTTCCCCCTGCGGCTCTTCTCCTCCCATGCCTAACCGCTTGAGTGTAGAGATCGTACCAAAATCATTCTTGCATATACCCGACCTCGCATCTTCACGGCTTACAGGACGTCGTAACGTGGCAGCATTATCAAAAGCTAGCTTCATGGAGATCGAAGCATTGCACAACCAGCTCAGCCGTGTGCTGCAGCAGACGACTTCAGCACTCCAAAAAGTGCCCGGCTCCGCTGTCCTTGTTCGGTACATCCGATCAAGCTACCAGAACGACCCCGTGCGATCCGCCATTGAACTGGTACTGATTCTATTCTTCATTCGCTATCTGCTGTCGCCATCGTATTCGACCCATAAGCAAAATTTCGTCAAGCTCAGAGAAGATGTAAGTTTTTCTGGCTGTCTCACCGTCTTCTCGGCATATCTTTGCCCTTGATTGAATGGACCTCCAGGGTGGTAGTGACACCTGGGTTCGTCACTGACTTTGCAATCGCCTCCAGGAGATTGATGAATTGATTGATGATTGGGCCCCAGAGCCACTTGTTGCTGAGCAGACAGTGTTCGAAGAGGCCGAGAGCGACAAGCTCCCTGTAATCGTTGGGTATGTCGTAGACCGTTCTTAACTGGCCGTCCGAGTCAAACTGGCCGTCCGAGTCAAACTTGCCCATCAGAAGGCGGTTACATTTAGCAGAGCCTCCCCCGCCCTTTTTCGCTACAAACATTCATGAACCTTGGAAGAACTACGAGATGGTCTGCTGACACTACTAATTTGTTATTCAGTTCCACAGGTCCAAAAGTCAAACTGTTAAACGGTCGAACGGTTACGAATCTAGCATCATATAACTTTTACAATTTCAATGCAAATGAACAAATCAAGGAAAAGGCCATCCAGACCCTGCGAACTTACGGTGTCGGGCCTTGTGGCCCTCCGCAGTTCTATGGCACTCAGGATGTTCATGTCAAGGCCGAGGCTGATATTGCAAACTATCTTGGTACCGAAGGCTGCATTGTTTATGCACAATCGTTCTCTACTGTGTCGAGTGTTATCCCTGCCTTTTGCAAGCGTGGCGACGTTATAATTGCCGATGAAGCCGTGAATTATTCGATTCGAAAGGGCCTACAGGCTTCCCGAAGTAACATCAAATGGTTCAAGCACGGTCAGATGAATGACTTAGAGCGGGTTATGAAAGCAGTCGCTCTTGAGCAGGCTAAGGGAAAGAGGCTTACGCGGCGATTTATCGTCACAGAAGGCCTTTTCGAGACCAGTGGAGATGTAACAGACCTTCCGAGTCTCGTGGAACTAAAAGAGAGATATAAATTCCGCATCATCCTTGACGAAACCTGGTCCTTTGGAGTTCTCGGGCGAACGGGTCGTGGCCTGACCGAATTCCAAAATGTTGACCCGCAACAGGTTGATATGATTGTTGGCTCTCTCTCTGGACCTTTGTGTGCTGGCGGCGGGTTCTGCGCTGGGGCTAAAGACGTTGTCGAACACCAGCGCATTACATCTTCCGCTTACACCTACTCAGCTGCCTTGCCAGCCATGCTAGCTATGACAGCGAGCGAGACAGTCAACCTCCTTCAATCTAATCCGGATATCCTCAGCCAATGTCGGGAGAATATCAAAGTCATGAAGTTGCAGTTAGACCCGCGAAGCGACTGGGTTGTCTGTACTAGTGCATTGGAAAACCCAATTATGTTACTCGTGCTGAAGCCAGAAGTTATCAAGGCCAAAAGACTGAGTATTGAAGATCAAGAACGGATCTTTCTAGAATGTGCCGACGAGGTAAGACATGACCAGGTAATACTGTACAAAACAAGTGTTTAGGCAGAACAGTTACTGAACCCAAAACCAATTATTTCGCTTCTACCGTTCACTGACCCATACATCTAGTGCTTAACCAACGGAGTTCTTGTTGCCAGGCTAAAGACAAGGCCGTATGCGCATGCTATCAAAGCTCGGGACAGCTGTTGGATTGCGCAACCTGCCTTGAAGATTTGCATCACGTCGGCACTTTCCAAGAAGGATATCGAAAAGTCGGGCGCAACAATACGACATGCCATCACCAAAATCATGACACGCAAAATAAGCGGCAAGACTGGCTAGTGGCGCGACTAACACTCAGCCAATTGTTTCGAAACTACTTTTCTGGTTGGCCAGCAAGCTACCTCACAATGACGACAGCCAAATTTGCCAGGGCATGTATGAGCGATTAGCATGATCATCTGCATTTCGCCAACATTCTTTCGTTGCACTGAAACGCCAAGGCGTTGGACCCGTAAACATCAAGGGTGGACTACGATGGTTAATACTGGTCTAAAATTATGTCCCATGATGTAACTAACATTAATTGACAGAGAATATATAACTCATAGAGAAGTCTGATAACCCTGTATTTCTTACTTGCTATTGTACTGAGTTTGCTCTCATTTTCGTCATCAGGACGTGCGGGCTTGTAAGTGCGATAACAGTGTGTAGCTGTGTTCGTTTTTGGCGAATAGAAGAATGTTGAGTTGGCTGGAGACAGTCTGTATCCCTGGATATTTTGGTTTGGCTTGACGAATGAATCATCCACAAAATTATTCTTTTAACAAGCTCTCGCTTTACCATCACCAGGCTCTTCAACCGTTCGTATGATGCTGTTCTCTGTGAAACCGTTCCTTTCTCAAGACTGAGAAAACTTACCGATATATTACCCTTCTCGTCTGCCTGGCTTCGAACGGTAATCAATGTGCACCAACTAACTAATCACCTTTGGTGGTGAGGGCTTTGCTAGCTGAACCCATCTAAAGTGGGGCGGGCACGATTACATTGTTTGGGTGAACGGATGCGGTCTCGCAGTCACATGACATGCTGTGATACAGACACATTGAACTAATTATGCAAAGCCCTATAATATTTCTTCAGGAGACAGAGCCGTTAGCTATCAACAGTTGTGTGTCTGTAGCCATGGAAATAACACCGCTGCATCTAGAGATTAGAATTTGGGCTTAATACTCGAGTTTTCATTGGTCATTGACAATCGATTCCTGAACGCCACAAACTATTTGATGCCGTCTTCACGGAGCATAGTAGCCAATCATGGATTAGGAAGTGCAAGTGAATAAATAAAAACATTCTATGAACATGGATAAATACATGAAGAACTATGTACAGCTGCCTCAAGCTTGTATAACAAAACATAGGTATGTCAAGCTGCAGCACCGCATAGTGGTGAAGACGGTCATACCGCACGCTTAATCCATGTCTGTAATATTGCACCTGATCCACAGCTTGGTCGACAATTGACACAGAGCGTGTGTCTTTTAGCGTATCCTGTCCAACAAGTCCAAAAATATGCCGATAAGAAACCCATAAGCCACGAAGCTGTTGTCGGGCGCAGACATTAGCAGTGATGTACAGTCCGTGAACGGCGTCGAGCGCAATGTCCAATTCCTTTAACCTAAGAATTGCGTCGAGCGCTTGCGAAACATCATGGACGAGGCTGAGGATTCTTCTTCATGCTCCGCTGAAGTCAACATATTGTTGATGTTGAAGGGCGTGCCAGAGCCTGCTTAATCCGACGTACCATACAAGGACTATCTTACACAGAAACCAGTGTCCGGAACTCCATATTAGATGCATAAACCTTATCCCGCTGGCTTGTGCCCATCTCTCGCACGCAAATGTTGTACAGTGATTATCTCATCAGGGTCCACAGAGTTCATTACCTCGAGCAAGCCCAGCGGGCTGTCATGGACCAAGTCGCTGGGTACTTCCAAGCAACTCTGTTGCATTGCTGCCTCCTGATCGTGTCGTTGATGGCAAGACGCCAAAACGGCCGTATGTTTTTTGGTCAATGCTTACATAGTGCGGGAGAACAGCCAGTAAATTAAGCCGCGTTTCTATCCATCGCAACGCCCATTCTGGGGGAGCAATAAATTTGAGGTACCCAATACCGCCTGTGGAAAAATAGATATCGTTAGCCCATCATGGTCCCCAACTCGCGCAGGTCTCAGTTGTCATACATATGTAGCCTACGGCCACGCCACATAAGTGTCCCAAGAGGCTAGTATTCGGTATCAAGACGGCCACAACGAATATCATGAGTAGTGGCGTCGTCCATGTTGGGATATGATATGTGCCAATTACCAAGTGTGGATTGGAGCGGTATGTTCGAATGGCTTCCATGCCGAGAAG